AGTAAATAACAAGTGTTGGAGAGGATGTGGAGAAAGGGGAGCCCTCCTACACTGTTGGTGGGAATGAAGTTGGTACAGCCACTTTGGAAAAGTATGGAGATTCCTCAAAAAATTAAAAATAGAGCTGCCCTATGACCCTGTAATTGCACTATTGGGTATTTACCCCAAAGACACAGATGTAGTGAAAAGAAGGGCCATCCGTACCCCAATGTTCATAGCAGCAATGGCCACAGTCACCAAACTGTGGAAAGAGCCAAGATGCCCTTCAATGGACAAATGGATAAAGAAGATAAGGTCCATATATACAATGGAATATTATGCCTCCATCAGAAAGGATGAATACCCAACTTTTGTGTCAACATGGATGGGACTGGAGGAGATTATGCTGAGTGAAATTAAGCCAAGCCGAGAGAGTCAAGTATCGTATGGTCTCATTTATTTGTGGAGCATAAGGAATAACAAAGAGGATATTGGAAGAAGGAGAGGAGAAGGGAGATGGGGGAAATCGGAGGGGGAGACGAACCATGAGAGACTGGACTCTGAGAAACAAACTGAGGGTCTTGGAAGGGAGGCGGGTGGGGGGCTGGGGGGTTGGGTGAGCCTGGCGGTGGGTATTAAGGAGGGCACGTATTGCATGGAGCACTGGGTATGGTGCATAAACAATGAATCTTGGAACACTGAAAAAATAAAAATTAAAAAAAATTTAAAATTAAAAAACACATCAATTGGCAAAATCTGGTCCCAGCTAACCTTTCTAGATTTGCTATCCTCCATTACAAATACTCTACAATTAAAGAGCTTGTTTTGAATCTGCTAATGTAAGACTCAGCTAGTGGGCTAGCTCCCTGAGGCTGGGCCTTGGACACCCCTACTCCTGTAGCACCTCGTGGTCACTCTAGCTAGTCTAGCCAATCACCTCTTAACTTGAAACAAGCTAGACAAGAGTAAGATTCAAAATTCTAATGGGAATGCTTCCAATTTCAGGTAAGAAGGAATAAGCACACTCTACCCTGTGTCTCCCACTGAATGCATCAATAAAACATAACACATAGATCAGCTATTGGAGAACTTGAAAAATAAAAAGCAGCAGGCAAATTATGGAAGAAGACCAGAATTCAAAGTACCACTGAACCAGTGTAAGTTTACATCCTGGTTTTTATCCTGGGCATTGTGGATGTTATTTTGTATATACTCTCAATTCTAAACCTTACAGAAAAAAAAAAAGTTTTTAGAAGGCAATTAACTTTTTTAGACTTGTGTTACAGGCTTTGTCTCATTTTTTATAGGTGTCCATTCCAATCTCAGTTCATTTCTTTAAGCCTCTGAGTTTGTCTTGTGCATGTGGGGTCAGGAGTTAGCACACGGGTTCACATACAGAAGTAGAAGAATCCTTTTTATGGCTCTCTCCCTTCCAGGATTCCCCCTCACTTTAGAGGTGTGGCTGTTACATGCTTTTTCACTCTGGTTCTTCCAGGCAGTAAAATGATGGCAGGATTTCAGTTATAGTTTTAGCTGCTCATGCATTTTGTGACTATGACCCACTCTCAGGGCCAAGACACACACACACACACTCACCCATGTGCTGGTTGCTTCTATGGATTTTGACTCCCCTCCACAAGGGTCTGCGTTTACTTACTCTTCAGAGTCCTCACATAGTTGTTTTTTCTATTTTGCTCAAAATTTCTAATTATCAGGATGAGAGACAGTTTATAGAAATCTACTATTGTAACTATTTTGTTGGAAACATAAAAATGTGTTGCCTGGGTAAAAAACTACGGTAATATAATTTAAATCTATATCTGGCAAGAGGCAGTTTCTTAAACTGGGTAGTGTTCACATGAATGTGTTTTATAATTACTTTGTGTATTTTTTATCCTTTTTTGATGTACAATACACTTGAGAATTTTCTAAAAATGAGGTACTTTGATCCTTCATAACCAAAACTTAAGCTCCTCACTTAACATTCACCCTGAGGAGGGGCGCCTGGGCGGGTCAGTTGGTTAAGTATCGGACACTCAATTTCGGTTCAGGTCATGATCTCAGCGTTGTAAGATTGAGAGCCACACTGGGCTTTGGGCTGAGCGTGGCATCTGCTTGAGATTCTCCTTCTCCCTTTGCCCATCCCCGTCCCCGTCCCGCTATCCCTCTTGCGTGTGCATGCTCTCTTTAAAAAAAAAAAAATTTTACCCCGTGGATAATACTGTTATGAAAATAGCATACCTATAATATTTCAATAATATATGAATGGCTCAAATTTAATAAAAAGATAACTCCATAAACTGTAAAAGTGAGTACATTCTAAGAAAATAAAGTCTTCATTTCAAAGAAGGTTCAAACAGGCAAATAATCTCCTATAGTATTTCAATGTAGCAGAGCCCACACCTTTGAATCGATATCTTCATTCAAATCATAACTCTACCTCTTACTAGATGTGTGAACTTGGGTAAGTTACTTCAGCTTTCTGAGCTTGTTTCCTCATTGTAAAATGGACAAAATATAGTACCTACCTCTCAGGATGAAGTGAAGAGTGAAGTAAGCAATTATGAAGAACATTCAGCACACAGTGCTAGGTACTTATAAAATGTTCAATGAAAGTTAGCTGTTATTAGTAGTGATATTTTCTTCTGAATCCCAAAGGACCTCCATTTATTTACTCAATTACTAATCTTCACTTGATATACTTACACAAAAACAATTTGATATTATGTTCCTTCACTACCAGGAAATGAACAACTTTGTACAGTTTAAAATTCAACATAATACTAAAAAGACAAGTTTTAGTTGAATGCACCCTCTAGTGGTTTCCATTATGTGCAAGTACTTGCTTCTACAAAAGAAAACCTCTTTATGAAATGTCCCTAGTTTGCTTAGAACCTGAAGCCAGCTGGTTGAGAACATGCTATGAAGTGGATAATCATACAACTAGAAAGCTCCCCCTCTTCAAGAGCTGGAGGAATACTTTCTTTTACAACCTCCCCCCCCGCCACCATAAAACCTAGAATATTTGTGATATTCACCATACCAAATTCCATTATTTCTACAGCACTGACTTTAATCTTTACTCCTAAAGAAAATCAGGCCACTTCCTAGTTTGCTTTAACAAGCATTGCAGCATACTTATTCTTTGTCTAACAAAAACATACTGAGTTCCAACTATGTATACCAGGCAATGGGAATACAATAAACAACTTATTACACAATTATTATGTAATTACTAATTTGAGAAGTGTTTTAAGTAAAGACTGCCACGAGTGTACAAGAGGGGATTGGTTTAATTTGGGTCGCAGGGGAGCAGAATAGGAAAGCTTACTTAAAAATAAAATGTAAAAAGACTTTAAGGGTAAATACTTTAGCTGAAAGAAGAAAAAGTGCTGTGCAAAGACAACAGCATATGTAAAGGCCTGAAGACTGCAAGGTACGCACAGCATTTGAGAAATTGAGGAAAGTCCCCCGTTTCAAAGAAGGGGAGATTGTACAGGGAGAGACTAGTGAAGTAACTCCAACTTAAGGAGTTTGAAGTTCATCTTAAAAACAGTGGGAGGGGGGCACCTGGGTGGCTCAGTGGTTGAAGCCTCTGCCTTCAGCTCAGGTCATGATCCCAGTGTCCTAGGATCGAGCCCCGCATCGGGCTCTCTGCTCAGCAGGGAGCCTGCTTCCTCCTCTCTCTCTCTGCCTTCCTCTCTGCCTACTTGTGATCTCTGTCAAATAAATAAATAAAAATCTTAAAAAAAAAAAACAACAATGGGAGTGGCAGTTGTGTGGCTGAGTGCATTAATCGTCTGACTCTCGATTTCCACGGAGGCCATGATCTCAGGATCATGAGATTGAGCCCTGCCTGGGGTTCTGCGCTGGGCATGGAGCCTGCTGAAGATCATCTCTCCCTGTTTCTCCCCCCAAGCCCTCTAAAATAAATAAGATCTCTTAAAAGAGAGAGAGACAGAGACAGAGAGAGAGAGAAGAAAAAGAGTAATGGGAAACTACGGAAGGGATTAAGGCAGAAAAGTAAAAAAAAAATTTTTTTTAAAGATTTACTTATTGACCTGAGAGACAGAGTGAGGGAAAGAGTGAGAGCAGGAGCTGAAGGGGCAGAGAGACAGACAGGGCTCAGGACTGGATCCCAGGACTCTGAGATCTTGACCTGAGCAGAAACCAAGAGTCGGCACTTAACAATGGCACCTACCCAGGCACCCTGATTCACACTTCCAAAAATTCACTTTGCTAAGAAATGGAAATGGGTGAGGGAGTGGCGTAAAAAGTAGATGCCCAGACCATCTGCCAGTAATCCGGGTGAGATGGGATGAAACCTGGGACAAGGGAAGTAGCAGTAGAGATGAAGTGGAAAGACAGTTAAGGGGCAAGATGGATCGACCATGATGATAGGTATGGAAGTAGCGAACTTGGTGAACGAAGTGCTGTGACAATGCCATTGTCCCCACTAAGTACAACTGGTGGGGGTAGCTGTTTGAAAAAGATTTGAGATAATAAATTAACAAACTAGGGTTTTCCTCTTAAAAAGAGAACTTCTTTGGCCACAAAGTATAATTTTTTCAGTTGAAGGCTTAACTAGCATTAGGCAGGAGGATCACAAGGGACCACTCTCCTCTCAATTGGGCCCTAAATGTCTTTTTTTTTTTTTTTTTCTAGGAGAATGACCCACTACTACTGCGCTAAGACTTTTACCTTACATCTACCTGGAAAGCCCTTCACTCATTCCCACCCCAAATGATTGTAAAAAAAGTACAGTTCAAAGGTCACCTTCTCCAGTCTTTACCACACCTCCATGCTGCCGTGCAGCTCTTCTACTGAGCTGTGGGTTCCGGACAGCACGGACTAAGCACTCTTCATCTTTGTGTCCCCGTTGTGCAGCGCTGCACCCCTCAAACCCTCGGCGCTCCACAAATTTTCACTCAACCGCACACCCCCGCCCATGAGAGCAACTCTAACTAGCACACGTGCTCCGCCCCACCTTAGCCTGCCGGAAGTGACGCACTCTCGGGGACGTATTTCCGGTCCCGAGTGCCGACTCAGTCGCCGGGGACGGGCTTCTCTGGCTGGCTAACTCAGCTGCCCTGGAGGATTCGTGCGCGGTAAGTAGTTGCGTGCGGCTCAGCGGGATAGGACCCTGGGACACGCCCCTGCCCCGGCAGGTGCAGTGTTTCTCCCATTCGCTCCCAGGGACCTGGCGGGAAGGCGCAGAGACTGACTGCTGGGCCCCCAACAGCTCTCAACGGCAGATGGGGCTGGAGTGCCGGGATCCGAGGCCCGCCGAGGGTGCCGTCGCGGGGACGGCTCTCAGCGGTCGGGTGCTAGCCGCCTGGGCTGGCGCATCCAGCCCTACCGGGACCCGGTGTCCAGTGGGCTCCCCCAACTACATCTTGATACTTAGAGCTTCCCCCTTTCCTTGTCCTCATAGGAAGGATAATGCACCTCTTGGACAGCTCCAGTCCCTACTGTGACAGTCGCGGGATGTGCAGTGAGCCGTGTGCGCGCGGGGTATAGAAGTGTGTAGCGTCTCAGTGACTCGTTGGCTCCGCCCTTCAGCGTGTGTTTCCGGGAGGTTTCTAACCACGAGACTTGAGAGGTTTTAACCCTGTTGGGTACACGGGATGCCGCCCCCAAAGGGGCGCGGCTCAGTAATTGAAAATGATTGGAAACCACCGGGCTCGAAGTGGTTTATAGTCTGATGAGCTAGAAGACCCAGTATCCTTACGTGACCATAAACAAACCCTTTTGTTTATGTTACGTATCAATCTGCGGGAAGGGTTGTAATGACAAACTTTGCGCCAAAGGACAGGATTTCTGTGTACTTAATTTGCTATGCAGATTGTTTGCACTGAACTGACTCAGCGAGAAGGTGGGATGAAAGTAGCCTTGGGACTTAACAGATAGGAAACAGCCAGGAAAACTGCAGAATTTGGGAAGAGTAACTTCATTCACTGTATTACTTTGTGATTCAAATTTTACAAAGTAACTTGGTTACTTCATCAAATGTTTTACAGTTTTAAGCATTTATATATGTGTTGGGTTTTTTGTTTGTTTTACTGGTGTGGTAGCTCTTTTGGTAAGGGTCGATTTATTTTACAGGCATATCTGTGCCGCATATTATAAAATTAAATATACAGATATCTAAATGAAGTGTTTAAATAATTAAGGCTTTAACTTATGGGCATAATGTGATACAGTGTGGATCTTTAGTGGTTTTTGTTTTTTTTTAATGGTTACTAACATCCATGCTTGTCTTAAAGCTTGATAAAGTACCGCTGATGAAATCATGACCAGGTGGGCCCGAGTTACTACCACTCATAACAAGAGACCTTTGGCTGCAACATCATGGGAGGACATGAAGAAGGGATCCTTTGAGGGAGAAAGCCAAAATCTACCAAAGAGTAAACAACTTGAAGCCAAAAGGCTCTCCGTTAAAAATGATGCTCCCCAAGCAAAACACAAAAAGAACAAAAAGAAAAAGGAGTACTTAAATGAAGATGTAAATGGATTCATGGAATACCTAAGACAAAACTCACAGAGAGTTCATAATGGAGAGATGATAGCAGCAGACAGTGAGGAGGTAAGGGAAGAAATTACAGTTGCTTTAAAGAAGGATAGTCGACGGGAAGGAAGAAGACTAAAAAGACAAGCAGCAAAGAAAAATGCAATGGTAAGATCATTACTTTAACTGAAATATTACTTTATATAGGTCAGAACTATTATTCATATACTCACACATGTATATTCTAACAGAATTTGATGCTCTTACATACTAGATTTATAAAGCATCTTTTTGAGGGCTAGTAATAACATTACGACTTTTTTAGCACTTCCTGTATGCTGGGCACTTGATGTGATTAATTATCACAACAACACTATAAAGATAGTAGCATTAGTCTCATATGTGGAGAAAACACTGATGTATAGACAGATGTAAAAAAGTGCTGACAGCCACATAGCTAGTATAGTAGCGGAGATGAAATTCAAACAAGAGCTTGTCAGACTTCAAAACCTATGTTCTTATTCCTGCTTTCCAGTAGCTTCTTTTTAAACAGGCATTTAAAAAAAAAAAAAGTAAGGTGTAGGGTTAAGTGCAACAGGTTAAATATGTGTGGTTCCCTTTACTTGGAAAGGATGTTTTTTGTCTTTATGCATGAAAAACAGGCACAGGAATGAAGTCTAATAAGACTCACACTAGTTAGTAACAGAGCAGAGTAATAGAGTTAAGATCCCTTGAGTTTGTTCCTATTCATTGCTCCATCCCTTCTCCGTACTATTCAGAGGAATGTTGGGGGCTGCACATTGATTTCTTTTGCCCACCCCTGGATTTTTAAACTGTCAGACGTAGGAAATGAAATACTTCATATAATTCTTTCCCTTCTCTAAGTGAATTTTCCAAGTCTTCTAGTAAGATACTACATAAAAATCAGTATTTGTTATCAGTTTACACCTTCATTTTTATTTGCAGGATTAGTTTTGTACATAGTTGCAGATAATCATTTAGAGATAATGCTAATCAAACATTCCTTGTGAATAAATATGGATAGAAAATGTAATCATTTTTATTTGGATCAGGATAGCTTTATTTAAATTGTACCATTATTTAAAAATATTTTAATTGGGACGCCTGGGTCGCTCAGTTGGTTAAACAACTGACCTGATTTGGGCTCAGGTCACAATCTCAAGGTCATGAGATCAAGCCCTATGTCAGGCTCTACACTCACTGAGGAGTCTGTCCCTCTCCCTCTGTTTCTCCCCCTGTTCGCGTGTGTTCTCTCTCTCTAAAGTAAATAAATAAAATAAAAAAAAATTTTTTATCAAGCTAATTTAACTTAAAGGTAATGTAACTTAAAGATAATTTCATTGACATAGGCACTATGATGAATTGCATAGTATTCGAAACATTTATATTGACTTTTTTTTTTTTAAAGATTTTATTTATTTATTTGACAGAGATCACAATTAGGCAGAGATGCAGGCAGAGAGAGGACAGAAAGTAGGCTTCCTGCTGAGCAGAGAGCCCGATGCAGGGCTAGATCCCAGGACCCTAGGATCATGACCTGAGCCGAAGGCAGAGGCTTTAACCCACTGAGCCACCCAGGCACCCCCATACTGTGACCTTTTAAGAGAAGTTTTATATTTGTAATTAAGGGAGAAAGACATGGGTTTTCAAGAAAAAAATAAATGCTTTCTATTAAAGCATATATTTTAAAAGTATATAGTTTGTTCAGTCTGAGCATCAATTCTTAATTGCTAATAAATTAAGATAATTTATGATGTTCACTGTCCATAGTCCCATCTACGTTAAATTTAGGATCATTCAAGAAATTTGCATTTGAAAAAAAATTAAAAAAAAAAGAAATTTGCATTTGGTGGCAATTGGGTTTTAAAGGTGAAAACCTGGAGTGCCTGGGTGGCTCAGCTGGTTAAGCATCTGACCCACTCAGGTCATGATCACAGGGTGCTGGGATGGAGCCCTGCTTCTAGCTCCGTGTAGGGTGCCATGCTCAGCAGAGAGTCTCTTTGCCCCTCTCCCTCTGCACCACCCCCACCTCGTGCTCTCTCTCTCTCTCTAATAAATAAATAAATAAAATCTAAAAAAAAAAAAAGGTAAAAACCTAATCAGTGAACTGTCATGTTACTAGAGACCATGTTGACTTCACCAGGACTTCCGGTCTTCTTATGGTGATCTAGTTTTTAGCCATTAGCTTTTCCTGAACCTGTATAAAACTGCATTTTCTTTGTTTGGACCACCTCATTCTAAACGTAAAAGTTAGTGAAGATTTAAAGGGGTTCATTCTTTTCCAGTATGTTATGAAATGGAAAAAATGAGGACACAGTTGCAATATATTATATGTTTTATCTGCCTGTTTAATTTGCTTTTTAAAAATCCTGTGCTTATTTAAAAAAATTGTTTTAAAAAAAGTTTTTTTAAGATTTTATTTACTTATTTGACAAAAGAAGGAGAGAGAGCATGAGTAGGCAGAGTGGCAGGCAGAGGGAGAGGGAGAAGCAGGTTCCCCACTGAGCAGGGAGCCCAATGCAGGATCAGTGAGGGGGAGCCCAGGATCCCAGGCCCCCGGGATCATGACCTGAGCCAAAGGCAGACACTTAAGTGACTGAGCCACCCAGGCGCCCCTTTTTTCAAAAAAATTTTTGAAAAAATAAACCATTTGTTGTCCAAGAAATATATATATATACCTTTTTTCAGTTTATATAAAAGAGTTTACATATCTTTGAGTATCCACCATATTTGATTATGATTACTGTTTTTATTCATTACAACAAAAACTATTCTCCACATCAGTAGGTAGTATGTAAAGTGACCAAATGATTATTTAGTGTTATGTTGGAGCCAGATATTTCATGTTATAATTATTCTTTTAAAATGTATTGTGTAGGGGTGCCTGGGTGGCTGTCGTTAAGTGTCTGCTTTCAACTCAGGTCATGATCCCCAGGGTCCTGGGATTGAGCCCCACACTGGGCTACCTGCTCAGAGGGAAGCCTGCATCTCTCTCTCCCACTCCCCCTGCTTGTGTTCCTGCTCTCGCTGTCTCTTTCTCTGTAAAATAAATATCTTTAAAAAATGTATTGTGTACATACTCTAAAAATGAAACACCTAATTCTGAGTATTAAAGAATATGCATTAAAGTTATGAAAACTATAAGATACATTTTTTGGTATGAAATATAATTTGAATCATAATTTAAATGGCATCATTTGACTCAAATGTATTCAATTATATGAACTTTGTAAGTACTAGTATGAATTATGCCTGATAATTTTTATGGTCATTTTCTATTTTTCATAGAAAACTCAGTTTTTCTAGAAAAGACATCCCCTTAATGAAATTAATAGCCCATATTTGCTTAATTCATTTAAGCAGTTTCTATGAAACCATTTTTAACTTTGTGTCTGAGATTGATGGATTTATGGATTGACGGTTTTCAAAAGTGCTGAGACCCTCTCCTGGAAATGACGTTTATTGTTTAGGAATGTATGGAACAACCTTTTTTACAGATAAAACATTGAGATTTTTTTAAAAAGAGCTAGATAACAAATGAAAGACATTTTAAAGATATTTTTGAATTCAAGAATTAATAAAGCCAGTGTAGTTTTGTAATGTGGAAACTCACATTTTGTTTTCCCAGGTATGTTTCCATTGTAGAAAACCTGGCCATGGGATTGCAGATTGCCCAGCTGCCCTTGAGAATCAAGATATGGGAACTGGAATATGTTATCGGTGTGGGTCCACAGAGCATGAAATAACCAAGTGCAAAGCCAAAGTAGACCCAGCTCTTGGTATGTTTTCTTTCTATTGATTTTTAGTGTGGTAAATGTCAGAAGTGGGATTTTTGGGACAGAGTTTGTCATGAGCGTGCCACTTATTATTTTGAAATTGAGATTAAATTTTAAGTTGTATAAAAAAAAGGGTTTTTTTCCAGGTTATTTAAAATAATATTATATGACTTGTTCTGTAGTTAGCCAACTTAACAGAAAATGTTGATCCTTACAGGTGAATTTCCTTTTGCAAAATGTTTTGTTTGTGGGGAAATGGGGCATCTATCCAGATCCTGTCCTGATAATCCCAAAGGACTCTATGCTGATGGTGAGTACCGTTACCCTTATATGTCAGAAAAGGTGAGTTAGAATGCAGAGTTGTGATTTAACGTAGTCTTAATTAGCTCTTGAATCAATTCTTGGACAAAAAACAAAACCTTAAGAATTTCAGTTTTTATCAAACTCTATGTACTGGACTTTATGTGTAATATGACGTATTAATCAAGACAAAAAGCTAAAGTATATATTTTAAGCTTTTTGCTTGTTTCAGCATCATTTGTGAGAGTATGTTATAAATACCTACTTTTAAACACAACAGAAGCAAAGGGGGTGTATCTCAAGCTAATATAAGATTTAAAAAAATAGTGTTGTGGATTTAATCACAGGTTAGCATACCATTTTGGATAGATGGGCTGGTAGACACTCTTCAATATGTATTGTAATCTTTGTTTCTGAACGTTTTCCTTGGGTAATCGTCTAGCGTGGGATCATGTACCTCTCTTATCTTTAGCTCAACTAACATCTTAAGCTTCTTAGAGTCTGTGATGTCCGAAGCTTTAAGGAGGAAATTTTCTATTACTATGAGTAAGGTGCTTATGTGCTAACTGATGCCATCAGGTTCCAGATACCTCTTGTATGTCATGTCCTGGGTCGCATGGGAGAAGTCCAGTGAAAAGGCACAGCATTCAAATCAAGCTGATGGGTTATAGTTCTAGTACCATCATTCACTAGTGGGACTTTGGTTGAGTTGTTATTTCTCTCAGTTCAGTTTCCTTGCTTGTTAAATGGAGATGAAAAACTGTATTTCCTTGATTCTAAGATGTACATTTTCTCACATTTTAATGTCTCTGAACTCAGAATATATCTTACCAGTGGTGGGTGCCATGTAATTGGCAGGGATTTTTTTTTTTTTTTTCCCTGAGAGGTTTGTAAAATAATGATATAGCTTATATTCAGTGTCTTAGATTTGATGAATTATGGTATTGATTTAATTATGGTACTGAAGAGCTACTGTTCAGTGTCCCTCTCCCATTTCACTCTGGCATCTATAACAGTAAAGAAGCTGGCCCTGGAAAAGGCCCACAGGTGCCTTTCTGTTTTAAACTTACGACACAGGTCAGATGACATGACTGATGATAAAGATGGCTTTGGATAGTTATACAAAATGATTAGATGTTTTTTAAAAGTGCAGCAAAGGAAAGAAGAGATCACAGAGAAGTGAGAATTCAGCCAGGTTTACATCCTATAATGTCATATTTCTGGGTAAGTCACTTCACAATATAAGCATGTCCTGATAATGCTTGACCATTAAGTAATAGTGTTTGACCATTAAGGGAAAGATTGATTTTAGAAACTACATGTGTGGTAATTCACAGTCCTGGAATGTTGTTTAAAGTAGGCAGACAGGCACTTTTATTAGCGTTAGGGTGCCTGGCAGATAGAAGGCACTAAAACAAAAGTGAATTTGGTTCCTTTTGTAACTGATCACGCCCATCTGACCTGTACAGATGAGCAATGGCTCCTAATCTTTTTTGGGGTCACTGATCATTTGATAAGAAATATGGACATCCTCTTCGAAAAAATGCATCAGGACACGACTTTTGCTTACAGGTTCAACAGTTCACAAATCTTTGCCTACGTAACCACAGTTACGATCTTCTATGCAGTGGCTCTTGGACACTCGAGAGCACAAGTACCTTCTTCCATTATCTCCCTCCTCTCTGTCCCTCTTCTCCCCTGAAGGCCAGATGCAAGAACTAGTGGACAGGTACAGTTTAGGGCTCTGTGGGATCAAAAGGACAGAGAGTGGACTTATTAACAGGAATGGTGGCACCTACCTGTGTTCCTGTTTCCACCTCCCTGTGCACTGACAAGGCTGTGAGGACCAAATAAGATATGAAAAATGCTTTGAGACATTACAGTCCCTTGTAAGTATGAGAGGTTTTCAGTGACTTTGTTCTTTTAATAGGTGGTTGCTGCAGACTCTGTGGCTCTGTGGACCATTTTAAGAAAGATTGCCCTGAGAGCCAGAATTCAGGTGAGATCTCTGGGCCTCTATTTAGAAGGCCCGAGGTTATTATTCTGTGTTTTTGCTGAATTTTGTTAATACTGAGATGCCACTAATTTTAAGACAACCTGGTTTCTTGCTGCAGTGACAATCTAGTCATTTCTCTGTCAGGAGTAGATGCAGTCGTAACTGAGCACTAGTAGCTGGTACTGTCAGGTGGGGAAAAGGTGACCACTAAGCCCTAGAGGACCCTAATCTTACAAAGCATCTTACTTATACACATTTTTAACTTCCAACTAATGAATTTAGTAATGAAGCCAATTCTGTCACCAACAGAAAAATACTGATTCACTAAGAGGAAATAAAAAATATGAAAATAACTCTATTTTTATGATTGAGCATTCTCACAAATGGTTTGCTTCATCTATATCTGAAGGATTCAGAGCTGATTGCAAAAACAGCCAAAAATACTAAAATTTTGTTAGGTACACATCATCAGGCCAGTTGTATTTTCTTTCTAATGAAATACTACTGTTGGTCATCAAAACTTCAAAAATGTTCACTATATGTATGTGAGGGAAGTGGAAATGATTATCATATTAGTTTACCTGGATTGGAATGATGATAATCTTGAGTGGAAGAAAGACAGGAGGGCAAAAGTAGTACTTCTTAGGGAAAAAGCACATTTCTTTTTATCTCAAATAGTGACAGTACTACACAAAATCTGCTCATTCTTACTTCCTACCTGAACATTTACCTTTGAAAACCCAGAGTTCTTATTTACGGTCTTGTATAGAAGAAGACAGTCTTTACTACATTGTAGGCAGGAGGACTGAAATGATGGAAGTGGAATTTGAATTCTCCCTCCTGGGAGGGTTGCCATTTCCCGAATGACAAGACTGACAAGCAGATGTTGTATAATTTCACAGGTGGAATCTTGTGCATTTAAAACCGATGCTTCATAAGTCATACTGTTTACAGATTCTTGGAATTCATTGACTCTATAATGATGAACTCTGGGAAAGAATGAAAGCGCTTTCTCATCAATTTGTGCATTGCAAAGCAGTTGCTGCATTTCCCTAATTGGGATGAGAAATTGCCTGCGGTACTCTGAAATCAAGGGTTATAATCAATTACAGAATGCTCACTCTCCTTTAGTGATGGAGTCTTCCCTCCTTGTGATTATTCATGTCAAAACTAGTTTCTTTGCTCAGCCAGTTCCAAACTACAGGGATGTACTTGATTACCATTTTTCTTACATTCTAACTTCCATTCCTTAACAGATCGAATGGTCACGGTTGGTCGCTTGGCAAAGGGAATGAGCGCCGACTATGAAGAAATTTTGGATGTACCTAAACCACAAAAACCCAAGACAAAGATACCTAAAGTTGTTAATTTCTGATAATGATTAGTACTGTCATTAGTTACCACCTCATTGTTAAATATTCTGAACTGGGCCTACTTGGCAAATTGGAGCTGGGCTCCCTTGGAGACCTGTGTTGTAGATACCAGTATGATCAGGGAATGGTCGCATAGTTTCCTGAGTGCTGTCCATTAAAGAGTGCTTTTATCACTGGAGAAAATCACTGGAGAAGTAGAAGACGTTAGAATTGGATTCTCTAAAAGAACATTTTTAACAGAACTTAGGTATAACTAAGTGGTTATATGCTTGATTGTAACAATCATCTTTTTCTTAAAAACTATGTATTAATGTGAACCACCCCTACATAAAGTTTTACTGCTTGGCATTCGGAATTGAATTTTTAGTTAGATTGTTTTTTTTGTTCAAAATACCACCTTATTATTATGAATTTATTAATTGCCACAAAATCCACTATATTTTTAAAATGATAAAAATTCATTTGCTATTTACTTATTTTTCTGAATACCTGATTCTGGATTGTACTAGCCATTCTCTCTTTATGTCCAGGTACAAACCCTTTGGAAATACCATCTTTTGTGAAGTCTAGATAAGATTAATTTTGGTTAATATTTATTTTAGTTTTGACATAAAGAAGTACAAATTATTGAGGTAAAATAGAAGAATACCTTAACAGCAGCTCTTCTTTGTTCTTGATTTTCAAGAGAGAAATTCTAGCCGAAATTTAGTTTCAGATATTCTTCCAGAATGATGTCACTTAACAGATTGTATATTACACTTAACAGCATTTTGTTCACATGTTTTAGATGCGTCCAGGTGAGAATGCAACTATCACCGTAATAGAGTTAGAACACTAATCAGAGACCCATTAGCTTCTTTGATTTGATGAATACATGCATACTTAATACATATATTTCACAAGGCTTAGGGCTCCCATTGTACTGTTTAATGGAATGACTCTAGTGGATTGTGTGTTTCATTTGGAATTTTACCTGATTGGATACATTTGTAACTAACGGAAACAGCTGTGATTAGCCACTGATGCTTCAAAAGCAAAATATTTACCAAATAAGAAAAGAAACACTTTTCTCTGTTTTAATGTCTGCATACCTCAACAGTTCTAGTTTTAATAGGAGCTGTTGTTTTATTTTTGATATGAGAGGAAAACAGGAGAGAATATAGCTCAGCCTCCCAGAACTTAAAGAAAGGAGTGCCATTTAAAAGAAATCACACAAGTCGTGCAGCTGGAAGAGGGCAGCAGTACTGTCTTAGACATTTAGTCCAAACACACCCAGATTTATTTCACCTGTCCTATGAGGTGCCAAAGACTCTGGAGACTCAAAAGCCTCCTCAAGTGAGGAAGGCAAACATTAACTTTATTTATGCACTGCATCTTTCTCCAGTTCCTGCTGTGTTTCTGGTACTCTTTTAGGTACTTGGGATTGTGGTTGTGATGAAGACAAACAAGGTCACACGCATTCTAATGCAGCTTTAGGATGGAGAGGAGACTTGAGGGGAAAATACATATTTGACATATCAGTGTATCAGAAAAATAATATCTGAAATATTTTATTACATTTTAAAAATATTCTGTTGAGGGGCACCTTAGTGGCTCAGTCGGTTAAGTGTCTACCTTCGGCTCAGGTCATGATCTCAGGGTCCTGGGATTCAGCCCCACATAGGGCTCTTTGCTCAGCAGGGAGCCTGCTTCCCCCTCTCACTCTCCCTGCCTGCCTGCCACTACCCCTGCTTGTGCTTTCTCACTATCTCTCTCTGTGTGTCAAATAAATAAATTAAATCTTTAAAAAATATATTCTGTTGCATCCCCTAGGATTTCGTCATTAGCATTCTTCCATCAATCCTCTGGAAATGCCACCTCTTACAAGCTTATCTTTCACTTTTCCGAGGCTGAGTCCTAAATCCATCTGCTCTAATATCCCTGATTTCAGTTCCTCCTTGGATGTTTCACCAACACCTCAAGTCATTACTGCAGTAATTTTCAAAACAAATATAAATTCAAAGACCTCTGATAGGCAGAAGTTAGAAGCATCTCAGTTACAGGAGAGGTTTGAAATTTTACCATACAAAATTTTAGTGTGATGCAACCCCTTTATTGCTAATTTTTTTTACCTTTTTTAAAATCTAAAAATATTCTCAAAAATCTACTTCTGATCTGTATAGTCATTTAAACCTGCATACCCACTCTCTTACTGTATATCAATGTTAATTCATAAAATTGGAGCACAGTCCAAAGTCCGTGTAAATGAAAGCCTGCTGACACAGAATAAAAATAACCACCAGACCTAGGCTCGGGGAGTAGATGGGCTGGGGGACGGGTAGGCAGAGGAAGCAGGTAGAGATTTGACCTACAGATGGCAGGATGTACCTAACTTCTTAATGCTCTAAACTCTCATGAAGTCCTTCAACTCTTAAATGTTGTTCTGTAGAGGAGGCCAACTTGACATGTGCTGGTTCGTCCTAGGAGTTAAGACAAATCACAGAGTAGAATAATGAATCTTGAAGTCTGGGGAATAAAGTGCTAGTATAATGGTTATGAAAGAAAAGCTCAGTTAATATCCTCTTTCTCTGTGATATCACATTTTGCAGGTACTTTTTGTATGTATATATAGCAATAGATACTAAATTGGTCAGCCACCTTCAATATATGTGAAATGACACTAGTAAAGTAGCTCCTATTACTGAAATTGATTGAATTCCATTATGTTTTAATGTCTTCCTAATTTAAAGCTCTAAAACATGTAATACATCTTGTCAGATGCTCGTGACATACAGATATCTGCCATATATAGAATATTCCCACACTATTAATCAACTAGCCAACTTACCATTTTTGATTTTTAAAATTTTATAAAATTTTAACCAGAACACATGTTTCACTTCTGTAATGTAAAAATGCTTATGATCATTTTAAACCGTATTTGTACCATTATATGGTCCATACAAAATTGCATATGGGCCATTTCCACTGCCCATGCCCCCAGAAGGGAGGAGAGCCACAGATGATCTAAAACAGTGTTAAAACTCTTCTAATAATACAATCCAAATCACTGGTATTTGACCTGAGACCAATTTTATTTTTTAACCCCTTACTGCCTTTTGCTTAAGCCAAAATTAAATTATTTTGTGGCCCAAAATCTTGCCAGTTGTCAGGGCTAAGTGTACTTGGAATTAAAGGTGGGAAATAAAATTACAGGTAATTGAAAGTTTACCATTTAAAATATGTTTATCAATCCATCCTCAGTAGCATTCTCTAAGAATTGTATACAAGAGGCTGCTGTTTCTTCGATGGATTTTGACCAGCCACCAAGATTTCCAGCAAAGTAAGGAGAGATGCTAGCAGAAATCTGGTTGAAGTATGATACCTGTCTCAAAAAGAAAATACATTATTTTAATTGTTTATTGACTGAGACTTTTCCAAAAAAGTTTTTTTTTTAAGGTTTTATTTATTTGATAGTGCACAAGCAGTGGGAGTGACAGGCAGAGGGAGAAGGAAAAGCAGTCTCTCTGCTGAACAAGGAGCCTGATGCGGGACTCCATCCTAGGGCCCTAGGATCATGACCTGAGCAGAAGGCAGATGCTTAACCCACGGAGTCACCCAGGCACTCCCAAGAAAGGGAGTCAAGCAGGGATCTGAATTCAGTTGGGATAGGGGAGGCTATGGTCCTGATCTTCTGGGGATGTTCTGGAATGGAACTAAAAGGATGACCTCAGGATTCTCCTGATGTGGACACACATTACAGATTACACTTAACTAGCAAATGTGGGTAAAAGGTTTCTCTGTATCTGTAGGAGCAAATTAACGTGCAGATGTTTCATCAAACTTACGGTACAGGAAATGCTGTCGATCGCATGGATGAGAAATCCAGCACGGATGATTTCACTTCTGATGTACTGTGGAGAAGGTGGGACTGATGGTAGAATAACGGATTTCACTGCCACCACGTAACTGTCACTGAAAAATGAAAGGACATTCTCTAAGTTATTGTGAGAAATGAAGGACAGTTGTTCGAAAACAAATTCCTGCAGTAAATTCCACTTATTTATATAAGTAGAAGTGCAACTATAGAGACCTCTCTCCTAGATGAGGGCCCCACACATACATTCTCTATGGCTACCTTCAAGTGTAGGGAAGGGTAATAAGGGCCATAGGTGTTGTCTGCCTAAGAATTAGTTACACTTTGCATAACTCCACAAGGCTGGAGTCAAGTTCTAAGCATGTTTTGTTATGCCCTAATGGGTTGTAAGGACCACCCTTAACAAATGTTAACATTTTGCTTTGTATCCCTTCACACCTTTTTATAAATATATAACACTGACGTAAGCAAATGCATGTACAGATTTTTGCATAAATGCATTTTATAAATATTGGCCTATAATTTGATTTTTTGCCTACCAGTAAATCTTTGGAGATATTTCTGAATCAGTGCCTCTACAGCTGCTTCATCCTTTTTAATGATGGCATAGTACTCTGCAGTATGGCTCTACCATAATTTATAAGACGGACCTTCAGTTTATTTCTCTACCTTTTGTCAAATAAATAAATACAGTGATATTATAATGAATGTCCATGTGCGTTCCTATATACACGTGTGTGATTTATTTCCACAGGCCAGCTTTGACATTGGAAATTATGCCGGCCAGTTCCAGGTGTAGCCCTTAAATGTCCGAGAAGCTTCTACTGCTTATTTCTTTGAATTCTTAGGACACTTCTTAGAACGCAGACACCATGCCCGGAGAAGTCCAATGCCCACAGAGAAGTCAGGAACAAGCACTCGCGTGAACAGCCCTAGCTGGCAGCCAGGCCTTTTAAATGTCTAGCATAATTGAGCCTTTGTAAATTCTAAACCGCTCCTGATGTTTTATTTGGCAGTCACTGCATTTTTACTGATAATGGAATATTCTAAAGGTTTGCTAACTATCAATGTGACGTGTGCATAGGAAAAGGAAAAAGGCAAAAGGAAAAGGAACTGCTTCAGGAATCGTGCATGGTGCTTTGCACACGGGTGGCATTTAATAGATGACTTTTAAAAATAACTAAAGGTCCATCTAGAAGAAATTCAGATGAACCTCATTCAAGACCAGAAATGCCAAAATTGCCTTCCTTATTTTCATATCAACTTTTTCATTCTACTCTCTTCTACAAAACATTACTACAGCACTTAGTTGCTCATACTCACCCATCTTTGAGAGGCCTTCTCCGTGATACAAGCACTACCAAGTCTTTGGGCTTGTCACCATTCACTACAGGACAAGTGATATGATATATCTGATCAGCTTTGCTCACCCAGTCTATGACTTCACAGGACCTGTGTAAATACAACAGTGAAAGAAAGGCTACACTTTCCCACCTGCTATGAATAAGGCATTCACTTCTTCTGTTTGCAGAACTACGTTACTGAGGCCTACAGTCACTCTTCCGTTCACATAACCATCCTGCCAAAGCCAGCATTATTTCTCAAAGTCTGTCTTTAGAAAGCTGTTTGGTCTGCAGGAATAATTATGCATGTGATGGAGAATGGTGGCCCTGTGATTCTAAGGTCACTGCCCTCCACACTTTGGAGAAAGGCATTTATAGTTGTTTTCCACAAAATTATTTCTGAATAATAATAACATCTGAAGAGTAGCGAATTATATGGACAGTCATCAAAGAAGGACTGTTAGATAAAGGAATATGGTCTCCTGGAAAGAGCACCAAGTTCAGAGTCAAACAACCCGTCTTTGAATCCCAAATGTACACTTCCTATCTACGTTATGTTGGGCAAGTCACTTTATTTTTGTTTTCATTTGTAAAATATACATAATAACTATGGGGTTGTGGTGAGGATTAAATAAAAACACCTGGCACAGTAATGAATTAAGGCAGGTACAAAAGACAAGTAAGTTGAATTAGAATTCATTCATTCACTCATCCATTCATTCAAGTTCACTTTGGAAAGTCGGGTGACCTACAAAACAGTGCAAGAAACATTTGAAATGAATTAATACCAAAGTTTAACCATTGTTCCTGACAAAAGCTTTGTACTTGTAGAGTACCTGCAAATATTGATGGAAGAAAACTGCAAAGTGTTTCCTCTTCTTTCAGAGTCTTTTATTATGATAGCACCAACCATGATGTATTATTTTGGCATCTATGCAAATGTAACCCATGACCCCAGAGGTATTTCACTTTAGTGATATTAAATTGTCTATTGCGGGGGCACCTGGGCGGCTCAGTGGGTTAAAGCCTCTACCTTCAGCTCAGATCATGATCCCAGGGTCCTGGGATCGAGCCCCACATCAGGCTCTCTGCTCAGCAGGGAGCCTGCCCCCACCTCCCTCTGCCTGCCTCTCTGTCTACTTGTGATCTCTGTCTGTCAAATAAATAAATAAAATCTTTTAAAAAATTGTCTAATGCAGGGTATCAATCATAATCAAGTTTAGCCATTTTATTTTTTTTTAAAGATTTTATTTGTTTATCTGTGAGAGAGAGAGACGAGAGGGAAGAGGGTCAGAGGGAGAAGCAGACTTCCCACCGAACAGGGAGCCTGATGGGGGACTCCACCCTGGGACTCCAAGATCATGACCCGAACCTCAAAGGCTGACATTCAAACAACTGAGCCACCTGGGCACCCAAGTTTAGCCATTTTAAAGATGAGCCCCCATCTCATCAAGATTAGGAAGTAAATCGTAATGCATGATATAACAGGAAGCCCATCTCACCGATCCCCTCCTTTCAGCAAGATGCCCAGTGAGGGCCCAGGAGCTGGGGCTCCATGGCCCCAGAGCTGGGACTCCTCGGAGGAGGAAGGGGCATGGCTTGAGCGCAATCAGACCCAGCCGGTGCAGGTGGCAAGGTGCACAGCCTGTACTCCAGGAAAGAGGTGAAAAAGGCCGAGACTGGATTGGGTTGCAGGAGTCAGGAAGTAACAGCAGAAAGAGATGTAGGCTGATAGGACCGGGCCCTGATCAGACAGGAAAAGCAGGAAAGAATGCCTCTGACTTCAGTATCATCCAGCTGTCCCTCAGCTTCTCACCAGGGAACGCTACTTCACAGAAAGAAGGAGGAACCCCTCATCAAATACCAAGAGAGGGAGGTGGGAAGGACAATTTTGACAAACACTTCCTCAAGAGCAACAAAACTGTATATTAAAGTACAAGGGTGTGCAATTCAGAGCCTGATGGATCTGGGTTCCAATTCAGGTTCCGTTGCTTAGGAAAGCAATCTTGGCAAGCCCCAGAACCTCTCTCTTGTTAAGTGGAAATAATACCAAGTGTGGCGTTGTTGGTAGGATGACACCAGATGTGGGTAAAGCATGTCAACTTGATAGAAATGATAAATAAATGACTAAAATAATTTTTGCTTTTTCTCAGTAGCATGGGATGCAGTTTTCAGTGCAGTGCAAGTTTTAAAATATACTCTTTAACTTATAAACAATGGGTCCTATGTTGGGCAATGGAGATGGATTGCAATATGGAGGCTGCCCTTTACATGATGTCATTGAAGAAAATATTTTAAATAATTCTTACACATAATGGGGGTCCCACAAAGGTCTCTTGGTAAAGTCAGACAAGAGATGATAAGCCACATGTGCTGGTCTTTCCACGTGCTTTTCAACCCAAACAGATAAAATGTCATGCTCTTCCAGGGTATATATTTTTATCTAAAAGATAATAACAAGCAAAAAAACAAATTACAAGAGAAAAATGGATATTTCGACTTTAAAAACCACACAGAGTCATACGTTGATTGTACCATCTAAGGCATCTTGACACCTGCCTGAATAACTAATGAAGCCAGACACTGGCAATGTTACTTCAAATGCTTGGGTGTCTAGAACTTGGACCAGGACATTATCCTCTGCGTCCTCTAAATAATATGGGACTTCGGTTATTTAATTATTGTGCAACAAGGTTTCTCTTGAAAAATGAAAAAATGTAAGCCTTTCTCTTTTTATCTCTTTGTGATGTTTCCCTGCCTCTACCCAGCAACACCAGAGAAACAGCATTGGGCTGATAGGCAAGTCAGTGCTTCACCTCCCTCCAGGACCTCAGACACTTTCCTAGGATGTCAAGCATGCCAAGGGGACCCAGGAAGCAAGCCACCCACCTCCAGAACCAACTCAACCCTCCAAAAGTGTTGCTGAAGCACCACGCTTCTTCAGCACAAAGCCTTCTTTCATTTGCGAATCACAAGGGCCCATCCTCCTGAGAGGCCAGTTCCTGGGTTTCTAATGTTGTTATTCCTTAGATAAAGGACGCCTGTCTTGGGAGCCATTTGACATAAACAGTAACATATCCCCTATTACTCCAAAATCTCCTGCTGTTGCACTTTTGCTAATAATCAGAGCTATGTGCTCAGCTAGGAACACATTTCTATCCTGCCCATTTTCTCCATCTCTTTCAGGGTGCTTTGAAGTTCGTGTTGAAATGTGCCATCTTATAATCATCCCCATGGCAACAAGCTGTGAGAAGACAAACAAACAGAGGGTTAAGACTTCACTGCAGGAATCAAGCAGATGGACAAGTCAGGCTGTGAGGAAGAAAACCTTTATTTAAACATAAACATCTTCAAGAGGAGAATGAAGAAATAAGAAATTGACTAAAGGCAGCCTAGAAAGAAAAGGAGTGGCTATCTTTTTACACCATTCTACCTTCCCAATTGACCTCCGTGCCAAGACTGTCTTTAAACTAAGCACACAAAGGAGGACATGTCCTGGGCTGTGGACATGTATCAAACAGAAAGCCATGAATGGGGCTCAACTGGTGGCAGACACTCACCCCCGGCACAGCCATGCCTACCTTTACTCCCTGTACGGCAGGAGTAAAAGGAGGCTCCCTGGTGTAAATCCTGAAGGAAGTTGTCTTCTCAGAACTCCGAGGCCGTGTGGCCCTAAGTCTAGAGCTCTGTAGTCTCAGAGGAGGTAAGCGCAGGTGGCCTGGGTGAATTCCTTACCTTCTGTCCAATTTAGGCCTTGGGGCGGCCATGATCTACACTAATGGAGTCAGGGTGGAGAGGGATGGAATCTAGGGCTGAGCACTCACTAAGGGCTGAAGTGGGTCTCCTCAAATTCCTATGTTTCAGGTCTCTGTGTACTTCAGAATGTGACCTTATTTGGAAAGAGGGTCACTGCAGGTGTGATTAGTTAAGATGAGGTTAAAGTGTAGGAGGGTGGGCCCCAATCCAGTAATGATTAATATTCTGACGAAAAGGAAATCTGGAGGCAGACATGCACCCTGGGAGGACCCCATAGGAAGATGAAGGCAGAAATCAGGTGACACATTGACAAGCCAAGGTCTGCCAGAGATTGCCTGCAAAGCAGCAGCAGCGAGAGGAGAGGCCTAGCACAGCCTTTCCCACTTCAAGAAGAATCAAGCCGACCGACACCTTGATCTCAGACATCCAGCTTCCGGGACTACAAATAATACCTCTCTGTGGTTTAAGCCACTTGGTTTGTGGTACTGTTACAGCAGCCCAAGGAAACTGTCACAGCATTGTCCCGGGAAGCTGCTCTCTGGGTTGTAGACACAACATTTCCTGCTTCCTGAAGCCACAGTGAACCCCAAGCTGAGCAGCCACCATTAACCTCTGTCCTCACAGGAGCTCACTAAACCTATCCACCACCAAGAACGTCATTGGACAAGTGAACGGGATCTCAATCCTTCCCCCAGAAGGTGAACGTAGCAGAAAGTCCTCCTCATCGCTGTGCCATGAGAATCAGCAGCACCGATGTGGACAAAGCTGACAAGGAGGGTGGCAGTAGGTGCTGATCTCTTTAAACCCTAGTATTTTAGAAAAGCCAACTTCCGCTGAGTGAAAAAAAATTCTCCAAGACCAACTCTTCAAGAGAACATGTTCTCTTTCACGCTCAGAAGAACACAGGTTAAATTCCGTCTGTAACCAACTCAAACATTTTTATCACTTGATGCCTGCCGAATTTTATTCTAGGAAATGAAGCTTAAAATGAGTAAGCTTGCAATTTCTAACAATTCATAATGATACTGTTTTTTCATTCTAATTTTAATAAGATTCTGTTTAATGGATTTGGATATCTTCTACAAACAGCTGAAGAGAAAAGGATCTAATCTTGGAATTTTATACTATCTGTTTTACACTCTCTCTTGCTATTGAGACAATATTATGGGAAGGAGGACAAAATCATTTTATACAGAGACCTCGGTGGGGAGGGGAGGCTAACCTTCCTCGGAGGTGCCCGGGGAATGACCCCAAGGGCTCAGGGGAAAAGAACTGGACAGCTGGGGCTCTGGGACCAGCTCCTCCCCAGCTTCAGTGAGAATAGTGTCCTCTGGTCTGTTTCCTGTGCTGGGTTTTGTTCTGTGGAAAAGTTTTCAAGCAGTCCTTGCCATTCTGGCTTTCATCATCATCACTCTGTCAAGTCAATCTTCTACCCATGCTGATTCCTACCCTGAGGATTTGGCCGGAGCTGCTCACTTCCCGGACAGCCTCTTCCACCCTCCAGATATCTACATAAGCTATCTGCAAGGAGGAAAGAATGAGCCCCTCTCCAAAATTCTCTCTAAATATCTGTCTTGATTTACTTTGGGCTGCCTAAGAGCTGATCTTAATGATTTAAATACTACAAATGCTCACTTGTTCATAAGCTACCTGAAAATCATTTTTCTGCTGTTGTGTAGGTATGTGTGATGTTGCCAAAATAGTCCACAAGCTCCTTTAGGGTGAGGGTGCTGCCTGTATTACTTTTGTCCCTTGCATTATTACTATTAATTCCATCACTATACATAGAAATATGAGTCACAAGAATAAGTATTATCCAATTTAATTACAAATGCCAGAAATCATACACTTTTGACATTTAACTAATTTGTATCAAAAACAAGTATAGATTTTTTTTCTTTTTTCTTTTCTTTTTTTTTTTTTTTTTTTTTTTTGGTGGGCAGCAAAGCAAGATGTATTAAGCGATAGCAAAGTGATAGTACAAAGTTCCGCAGAAGAGAGGGGACCTGAGAGAGTTGCCCAACAATAAGTGTGGATTTCAAAACCTAGAATAAGTATGATTCACAACAGACAGTGTAAGAATTATTCAATGAAAAGATGATAGAAAAAAGAGAGCTGTATTTTAAAATCAAAACAATGTAAAAGTTTTAAAAAGTAAGAGAGAAGAGGATAGCCTAGAATTGGAAAAAATCCAAGTTTTATCATAAATATAATCTAAAGAACTGGAGGGCTTCAAATTCAACAGAAATGATGTAAGAATGTTGCTTTGATTATATCATACCTCCTAATAAGTATCTGTCCAAAAATTAAGAATTAAATATTAATGGCTCTTTTTAGACACTAACAAATGCAGCATTTTTTTTTTTGTTTAGGTTTATTTTGGCCCCAAACTCCCAAAGAACTGAAGTTTTTATATATTATATGGCTTCACAAAACATGCTGTCTTCCTTCATTCCAGATGCATGTTTGCCCTTTCCAATGCTGCTTAGAAGCCAGCAAGAAGAAGATTAGAATTCTTAGAAGCAAGAAGCAGATTTCATACTAGTAAAAGAAAACAAAGTCTTGAAGCATCTTTTATGTGGGATAAAGAGAAAAAGAGCATTTTATAACACGAAGTCTATGTTTTTGCATCACTGAATTAGGCATGCATGGAAACAGAAGTGGATCCAGAGAGGGTAAAGGGAGATCTTGAAATGACTCACAAGTGAAGACAAAGACATAATAAAAGCCAACAACCCAGAACAAAACAGTGGCAAGAGGTCAGAGTTGAAAAGAATCAGTGAAGTCGTATCTGAGTTTGCTTCAATTTTAAGGTAAGTGACCATGTCATTTATTGTCCAGACTGGGGCATGGAGGTTTTATTAGTAACTATGATAAGACAACTGATGATGGACCAATCACTAATTAAGATGGGACAACCAGGGCTGTCCCAGGAAATTAGGACCTATGGACACCCCATTGTAGAGGCTGTTGCTTCACTGAAAAAAACAGTACACACTGGATGTGAGCATAGAGAGCTGGCATGACTGAGCCCCTCCCAGGTGTGATCTGGACTGCTGCAATCTGGGACTATCTATGCTGGTGACCTTACAGTCTAGTTAGTGTGGGCACCACTTGCCACTGTCTCCTAACATACCTCTGAAATTTGATAAAATCAGAACCAAAATAATATGTGTGCATTTAGGTTTGATGATCCGCAAAGCAATGTAAAAAAGTGCTAATAAGTCAAGACGAGGCTTCTTTCTTATGAAATTGATCATCTAGGTAGGGGGAAAGACCATGAGTAGAAAGTTAAATTACTATGTAAACCTCGACATCAATTCAGCATAGCTGTGGATGCAATGCCACAAGACGGTGCATAATTAATTGACAGATTCACTCTGAAGAAGTAAGTGCTAAGAGGGTTCCTACCAGGGGAGTTCTGCAGTCAGGGGTGACAGAAGAGGCTTCATGCAGAAGAATTCTGTCCTGGGGCTTAAAGACCAGTTCGTATGGGGGCTGATGGCAAGGAGAAGGAGAGAGAAGTGGAGTATGAGAACTAAGATCAGAGGTAGGAATATGCAGGGTGCACCAAAGGACCCCAAATCCACAAGCATGGAGGACTAGAGACAGAGCTGGAAAAATATTTGGCTTTTCGAAAAAGTCTCCCAGGAAAGTTTTTTACCTTCTTAGAAGCAGCAGCAGGAGCAGCAGAAACACACCACCGTGACCACTCTCATTTGTGAGGGACAGTGGGCTGTGTGTATACCCGGATGCCTCCTACCTTTTCTACCACACTGGTAACCTCCCAACCGCTTCTGGCTGCCAGATTCTTGAGAGCCTCCACATTGGCATTACTCAGGGTTCCCTAAAATACAAATATTGTAAAAGCTGAGAGTTCAACCCACAGATATGGGATCAAATAGTTTCTTTTTTTTTTTTTTTTATAATTTTATTTATTTATTTGTCAGAGAGAGATGGCACAAGCAGGGGGAGCAGCAGGCAGAGGGAGGAGCAGACTTCCCTGCTGAGCAAGGAGCCCGATGCAGGACTTGATCCCAGGACCTTGGGATCATGACCTGAGCAGAAGGCTGACACTTAACTGACTGAGCCATCCAGGCATCAGGTGATCAAATAGCTTCTGCTTTGAAAATAGGAAATGTTAGAGCCAAAGTGGTAATGTTGAGCTTAGAACTAAGCTATAGGTAACATAATTTCTGTCTCCCAACTCTTAATTCAGAATTCAGACAAAATAACACGAGGCCTGCATGCTTTACAAATTAGTGTCCGTCACATCAATGGGTATCCGGAGGAAAGACAACATTACCTTTCAATAGGACTTGGAATCAACATGTTGTAAGGGCCTATTTAGCCAGAGCGATTCCATCCGATTCCATCCGGTTAAACAATGACTTTGTTGTTTAGAAAGTAAAACTTAAACTGACCCTGCCCGCCCCCCCACGCCCCCACCCGGGGAACTTACTTAAAAGCAAGTCCGGGAAACCAGTCCCAGGTAACAACACCCAAATACAAGGGTGGGTCAGGCCAGGTGGAGGTAGCCAATCAGTGGGGGCCCGTACTGTCCCCCTAGCTACTAAGGAGTATGGGCCCAGCCCTTTGGGTGCCTTTTGGGTGCCAGTTCTGACCAAGGTGATAGGCTAGTTCAAATATCTACTATAGTGTAAATTGTGATTCAATTGGTCACTTATGTGTGACATAGCATGGCTGTGTAGCTTTCTCTGTGTGTTACAATCTCATTGACCACCTGTGCGTGGCCAGGCCCAACCACATGGCCTTTGCCCTTAAAAGCTAGTCTGTAAGGCAGAGAGAAGTCGCCTCTTTGCAAGCGATGCCCTGGCCAGTCAGTTTGATTCTCAATGCTTGGCGCAATATAAAGCTTTGCTTGACCTTCGCTTTGTATCAGTCTCGCTCCTATGATTATGGACCCAACAATGTCATCAGTAAATTTGTATTTCCCTTTCTATTTTATGGTCAAAAACCTTAAAAATGCCCAATACTTTTGTTGTTGTATCATAAAAATGCAAGCTGGAAGGCATGTCATTCAGCACAAATCACTGAGAAGTCAAATCCCAGGGTCACACTGCCTGAATGCATCCCATGACAGAGCCTTCAGGGTCTGTGCTTTGGAAACTGCTTACTGATTGGTTTTGTTTCCTTTTGAAAGGACTGGTTGATATAATGCTCCTTTTCCTCTAACCTGTGCAGGCACAACCTGAATCAGTTAAACATGGGATCTGTCATTTTTATAATGATGCCATCTTCCGTTTTATAATGACTTGATTCTTACACAAAGAGCTCCCAATAATAACACCGTTACCTGGTTGCTTATGTCCCAGTGTACAGAGAGTGACACCTCTTCTTTGTGGGAAATAACATATTTTCTGGAAAAAAAAAAAAAAGAAAATGTTAAGTAACATGTTATAATAATAATGTTTAATAATAAATAAGTTTTCTTCCCTGCATGCAGCACACAGTAGTAACCATGACACTTTCTTGGGCTGGTATCAGCAGTTTTAAAAGCTGCTTTTAGTAGTGGAACAATCAGGAAAAACAATTTCCGTCACAGTTAGCCTCCAGCCAGGAAACATCAGACCTTCTCATTTGACATTATGTGGGAACACAGACCCAGAGAGGAGCCCTTTGTTATATAATTTGTTAGATAAGAGATGATAGCATAAAATCCTTACATCCACATCCTTACCTGCCGAGGCGAATTCTCTTGCGTGCAATAGCTCCACGATACCGTCTAAAATCTTCCTTTTATAAAAGACAAAGGAAAATCAATAAATTTCTAATATTTTAGTGCTATAGTCCTTAAGTCTCTCTCTCCTAATTCTGTTGCAAGGGCTAGCTGGGACACACACAGTCTCTGTGTGAACCATCCTCATCACCCACAAAGGGCAGGGGCATGGATAAAAACATAATCTTGACAGCCCTGTTCTCTCCTTTTTTAAAGTGGTGGTGGTTATCATTTCTGTTCCCAAAATGACACCTATGTCTCACTGCAGAGTTTGTAGAAAAGGTGAGAGTTGGCACCAAGGGGAAGATAGAGTTCCACTGGGCGCGGGACAGCAGAGAGAATCGGATGTAAAGCGGTGGGAGAAGACAATCAGAAGTACGACCCAGAAGATGATACACTGCCCACAGCAGCACGTGGCTGAGCAGAGGTGAGGTCTCCGGGGCCTCTGTCATTCCAACAAATGATCAGAGTGACTTGGGGAAGAAAAAGAAGAAGAAAGAAAAGAAAAAGTCCATTTTACTTTGTGATGTAGAAAAAAAAAATATCCAAAGAGGAATAGCCTTGAAAAGCGTTACTGGTGTGAGGGGATTCTGGGTGGAGCTCTGTACCCACCACTTCCCCCCCAGGAAGTGATCCGATTACTGAAACTCACGTGCTAATAACTGACCTCTGACATGGGTTTGATTCTGGGAAATGTGACCAGTTCTTCCTTATCATCGACAGCATTGTAAATGAGAAAAGCACTGTTGATGTGCCGGCCTTGGCCCTCAGACCACTCCTGACAGTCAAAGGCTTCCACACGCACTCCCACTTCCACACTGCAGAGGGCGACACAGGGCAGTGGGCAGAGAACCCGAGAAAGCCAGGCCTCCTCTGCCCGAGGCCACCACCACTACTCTCTTCCAAGTGAGAAAAAGAATGACGGCCTTGGGCTTTCTGTCTCCTCTGATGCAAATCTATGCAACTGTTAAAATCCTCTACATCAGGCTGACGGATCTGATGCTGTAGCCCCTGGTAGCATTTCTGCTTTACTTTCCCACCATCAAGTGGGAAAAAGGCCGGTTAGGACTTTATACACATTCATGAATATATTTTGGTAAAGTGATGTGGCAGGGAGTTAACTGGACCACAGTCAAGTTTTCTCCCCTAGAAACAACTATTCTACATTAAAAAGCATCAGACACTAAAACTGGATAGGAAACATAGATACTCTTTTCCACACTTTAAAAGAAAGAATACCAAATTAAATATTTTCCTTGTGTATCAAGAATAATAAAAATAACTGCGAAGTGGTTTGGACTTCTTGGTGATAAACAACAGGTCCATTATGAGTCAGTTGACTATGAAGTCACTGGGACTCTTTCGAGAGTGAATTGAAGAGTTAATAATGACAGGGACATACCAAGACCATACTGGGCCGGCTGGGAGTCACCCTTATTAAGAGACAAAAACCAAACCATCACAATTTATCAAGTACAAAGAGGCTTCAAGCAGCAAAGAGGGTGAAAATGAGTGTGTACAGATGTTGACGACTAACTGAAGTTTCAAAAAAACAATGAGAAGGAACGTGGTTACTTTGCAGGAGTCCCTACACTCACCTCCAGATAGAAAGAAAAATAAAAAATTATTCCTGTGCAAGTCTGAATTCATTCACAGCCACCTAAGAACACTAGACGGACTTTACCAGGTCTGAAATGTATTGTTGACAATGGCATTGAAAACAAGCCGATCTCCAACAGTAGACGGTCCCCGGAACTTAAACATGTCCACAGACTTCAGAAGGGGGTGTGCCCGACAGAGGCGTCTGAGGAAAGAAAGGGGAGACACAGAGGAGACAGCGCTCACTCTCGATGTAGTTTCATGAGCTGTTGATTTGCTTAACACATGCAATCGATGAATATTCAATGTGCTTTCTAAGTAAATGTCTCTTTTAACTCTTTTAAGAAATGACTAGATGATGTATGTGGAGAGTGAGTCCCTACACAGCCCGCAAATATTTTGGGAAAGACCATGTCCCCGAGCTGTGGGATCTTTACCGAGGTGCTTTGCGCTTCTACTCTTGTGGTGACAGCCCTGCTCTTGTTGTCTTCCCTCTAACAGTCCCCCTGAAAAACAAACCAGTGTCTTGGTTCTCATCTGAGGGTTCTGTTCATGTAGATAGCTTGTGATCACAATCACGGGAAGTTGTGACCCCCAGGTTAGAAGGGGGACACAGGGAAGGAAATGCCAGCTCGTATGGTTCACACTAGTTCCTTAGCTTCATAGTTAACTGAATTTACTCATATAGCAAAAGACCCCCCCCCCCTTTTTTTTTCCCTACAGGAAAATTACCTGGATTGCTACACAAAGCCTGAAGGGCTACCAGGTACACATTTTACAATGAGTATGTGTGTGTGTGTGTATGTGTGTGTGTGTGTGAAATTTTGAAATATTTATAAAGTATATTTGATCTCAGAGTTACTTTGATAATTTTCTACATTTTAGATTCCCACTGTAGTCATTCAGTTACTTAAAGGAATTGTGCCAACACCAAGTGAACACTCTGCCATACTTAATTATACTGTAAGCCTTTACAATAGAACAGGCTCAAATACTTTATTGTCATTGAGAATGACAATCTCATTTTTAAAACGAGCTCTCTTATTTGTGCATAATTTATAAAAAGGATTTCTACAGGTTTCTAACTATTGTCACAATTATAGACATAGTCACAATAAAATTCTTTTAACTTTGGGAAAATAAGATCTTCACAATCTTCAACAGTTACAAAAATTGTTGGTAGGACAGTTCCTGTTCAAATGCATTTTCAGACAACACAATGTTCCTTAAAGCTGCTCAGTTGCCTACATGGCTCTATTAAGAATAAAATGCCTTTTGGGACACCTGGATGGCTCAGTCAGTTAAATGTCTGCCTGAGGGTCATGATCCCAGGGTCCTGGGATCAAGCGCTCTATAAGGCTCCTGGCTCAGCTGGGGAGTCTGCTTCTCTCTCTCCCTCTCCCTCTGCCCCCCCCCTCCTGCTTGTGCTTGCTCTCCCTCTCTCTGTCAAATAAATAAATAAAATCTTTAAAAAAGAGAGAGAATAAAATGCCTTTTTTTTGAAACTGAAGAGTACTTAAAAGTTTTCTTCCAAATTTCTCTTTCTCATCTTATTTTTCAGTTAATCCTCTGGCCATAATGATTGTAACCAGGGATGTGAGAGGTCAATCCTATTTGTAAACTGCCTTTAGAAAAGTTTGCAACTTGACTATTTTTAAATGTAAAGGCTGTCCTCTCTTTCTATTCTGCATCGGCTGTACCATAACTATCATTACAGGGAGTTTCAGGATTATGTGACCAAAATCTACAATTCAGAATAAAGTATCAGAACGGTCATTTCATTTTTATTTTTGAACCAAGAACATAAACATTCACTTTCAAACAAAAGGACAAATTAATCGTAGGGTAAATGGGTAAATGACTTACTTTTTCTCTTTGACAAAAGGCAACACTCTTCTCTCCCTCCTTGACTATCTCCATAACCAGGACTCAGACCCTTTCTAATCTCTTCCCACTGGAACCCAACCTCATACGCCAAAGGTCAAAACCAAGAACCTTGCAGAAATAGTAGCCACGGTCTCCATCCAAGCCATAATTTGGCCACCAAATGTATTTCCATGATGGTTTGCGTGGGGTGGGAGGACAAGTTCAATGCTCTGAACAGATGTGCCACTTGTGGGAACCATTCCTTCCTCTTCGTCACAGATGGGGTCTGAAAGGTAGATGTAACACGCATACTGGTGGAGTGAACCGCACAACCTGGGACCATGGCTGTTCCTTCCTAGCAGCACACTGAACCCGGGGGATTGTTAGAAAAATTAAATTATTCCCAAAGACTTAAATCTCCTGAGGAAATAAATGGATTTCATTCTACAGAGTGACTTTCTCCTGAATGGTGGGTACTTAAAGGGAACTGGATAAGATAACGGATCAGAAAGGCCCGTTTAGAGATTGTATTCCAACCTATCCTTCCAGTTCACAGGAATTTTGATTAAAAGAATAGTCACATTTAAACTTCAAGTTGTTTGGAGTGGAGGAGGGGTGGGGAGAGGCAAAAAATCTGGGGCTTGATGGAGACGTTATTATCTTCATTGTGGTGATAGTTTTATGGGGTACACATGCCTCAAAACTTACCAAGCTGTACACTTCAAATACGAGCACATGAATTTATGGTATGTCATAATTATTACTATTCATAATTATTTATTAAATTATGTATAATAATTATCGTTTGTGGTACATCGATTATACCTCCATAAGGTTGTTAAAATTAAAGGAATCAGAGCTATAAAGGGCCACCAACGCTGAGAATCCGGAATAGTTTGCTCCAGTATAAACTTCAGAATAGGCACGTGGCCTCCCACAGTTACTGTTTTGCAATGAATGCAGTCACAAACAGAAAAGACACAATGAGTACTTCACCTGTCCTTCTGCTTCCTTTGAATTGTGTCTGCTCCGTTTACTGACAAATTGGTTTTTACGCTCAACAATGGAGAAGTCATTCACTCTGGCTGCAAAGTAGTAAAATGTATTCAATTATGCTTCCTGTGTCATCTAGTGACTCATCAGCTAGGCTTAAATCTGAGGTGCCATTGCTGAGGAGGATGGGGGAGGATTTACAAATCAGAGGTGCCATCCTAGTTGTGCTGCAGAAGGAGAGCCGGGCTGGCAGCCCAAAGGCACAGACTGGCCAGCTGTTGGGAACTGCGAACAGGGCCATTCTCGGCACAGCCACATATAACTCAGAAGCCTGATTACAATGACGAGCTACATTTTCTCACGAAATTTTTAGATTTATAATTAATTGATCTTCTTTTCATTATCCCCCCTTCATTCCACTGATCATTTCAGTCGTTTACTTATAAACATGTCAGAAAGATCCTATAACATCCTAGTATAAACGCCCGAATCCTTCTGATGAGGGAACAGAAGGCAAGCTGAGGACAAAGCAGAAGCTGACATCACACAACCACCCCACAACCCACCCAAACCCCTTCAACCCTCCAACCCCCCCACTCCCCCTCCCCCGCCATGGGATATATGTGACATTCCTCAGGCACTCCTGGCTGTCTGAAAGGAAAAACAAATAGTCAACTTGTAGAGATCACAATCCTGTAAGACCTGAGTCTACCTCAGTTTACAAATTTTCTAGTGATTTACCAGGAAGAGGCTTTAGTATCAATAGCCTAACTTCCAAAGACCCATAACTCCAGTTCCTGAAGCCGTAACATCATCTTCCCCTCCATAAAATTGAGGGAGGCTGAGACAGAGGGAAATGCAAATAAAGTTAAATTTCTTCTAAAACTAAAGCTCATTGATAAGGATGTGTGATAGCAGGAATGAGACATTCCTCCAGGAAGCTCTCAACTGTCTTACTCTTAGTGCCTTACTAAAAGGAAAAACAACCTTAACCTGTCAATGGCAAGGCCTTTGGCATCCTGTAGGTCCTCTTTAGCATATGAAAGTTCTTTCAAACTCTCCCTTTTCCTTACCTCCCCAACCCCATAGTATATAATCAGCTACCCCTAACAACCCGGGGACAGTAGCTCTTTCTGCAGAAGGGTCCCATCCCTGAGCTTTAATAAACCACCATTTTGCACATGGCTCAAGAATTCTTTCTTGGTCATTGGCTCTGGACCTCACCCCACCCAACCTCACTTATTTTCTAAAACTTCATCATATCCTTTGGCCCTAAGCCCTTCCTTTCTCGTCTGGCCTAGGCCTACCACTCCATCTCCAGTGAGCTCCATGGCCACTCCTACCACCTTACCCCCATCATATTCTCTTTCAATCTCTCTCTTTGCTTCAGCTATGAGACCTTTTTTCAGTCCTATAACTAAGTATTGTCTTCAACACCAGGGCATTTACATATGCTGTTCCATCTGTCAGTTGCAATTCCCCTGGCCAAGACCACCTTCTTCCCTTTACCTCCTATTCTCTTATAGGGAAGCAAATTTTATCATCCCAATATGTACCTCTTCAGGCTCATTGTTTTTAGGAAACTACAGATACAAGAGAAGCTCTGAAAACCCAGTAGAAGTTAGCGGGTGATAAGATACATTTAGGTGTATAAGATAAATCTCCATTTGTAAGGATGTTTCCCTTGCTGTACCAGAAAGAGGGGGATGACTCGAAATCTAGAAACTTATCAGTGGAGAAGACAATGGCTTATATCTGTGAAATAACCTTATTCTTGTTTCCTGTGCTTTTCTTGGTAACCTCCCATAACTGACCCACCACCCCCAATATCATCTTTTGTCTTTGGCTGAAGATAGTATTTAAGGTGATGGCTTCAGCCTTTCCAGTGAGTTACTGTTTTTCTGGGTCTCTCCCACGTATATATGGAATTTAACTTTTGTTTGATTTTCTCCTATTAATCTGTCTCATGACCATTTAATTCTTAAACCAGCTAGAAGTAATTTATAGGATAGAGGAAAATTTTTCCTCCTCAGTACTCTGTTGGCCAATCCCAGGCATCTTTTCTTCAAGAAAGCCTTCCCAGACCTAACAGCTAATTCCCACTGTTAGGAGCCTGCACACGTATCATCTTTCTTTCACAGTTATAGTTTTGTTTTGTTTTGTTTTGTTTTTAAGATTTATTTATTTATTTGACAGAGATCACAAGGAGGCAGAGAGACCAGCAGAGAGAGAGGAAGAGAAGCAGGCTGCCCGCTGAGTAGAGAGCCCATGCGGAGCTCAATCCCAGGACCCTGGGATCATGACCTGAGCCGAAGACAGAAGCTTAACCTACTGAGCCACCCAGGCGCCCCTCACAGTTATAGTTTTATGTTTGTGTGATCTTTGACTATGTGACCCACTAGATCCTAAGCTCTTTTGTTCAGGAACTGATTTTCTTTTAAAATTCTAATAATTTCTGAATATGGGCATTTGGTAAATATTTATTGAATGCATGTGCTGATTTATTCCACATTCATAGTTCTTGCTCTCAACAGAAACTTTTTAGGTAACAAAATGATTGTACTGATTTACATTTCTGTATGTTATTTTTTAGCGTTCCCACTGCTCCACATTTTCACTTAGACCATACTGTAGTTGGCTCAAGTTTTTCTAATTTTGTGGGTGTGAAATATCTAGTGTTGGTTATAATTTGCATTTCCCTGATTAAGGAGGTCCAACATATTTTCACATGTATATTAAACTTTGTTACCTCTGAATGAAATGTCTGTATCATTTGCTTTAAATGTTACTTCTCTCCCTTTTTTTTATTCTTTCTGGAGCTTTGATCAGATGCATGTTAGACTTCTTATTCCTTTCTCTATGTCTCCAAATCTTTCATACATTTCTCATTTCTTTGCCAATCCATCTGCATTCTGGTAACTCCCTCAGATCTGTCTTCCAGTTACTGTCTTATCTGCAGTTTATCCATTCACCGAGTTTTATATTTAAATTATTATATATTTTTATTATATATAATTATATATTTTTGTTATTATTATATATATTTTTGTATAGAAATTCTCTTTGTTTCTTTGTCAAACCTTCTAGGTAATTTTTTATTCCTGATTAATACTTTTGATTCTTTTATTTTTTAAAATACATTAACATTCTTACTTAGTATTCTTTATATGATAAATGCAGTTAATTATAGTCTTTCTGGGCCCCCTTCTATTGCCTAATTCTTCTCTGGATTTTGGTGACGCATTTATTATTATCCTTTATGATGTTTGTCTAAGAGTTCATATTCCTTGGACCTATGTGTGTGGGGATTCCTGAGAGCTGGGCTTAAAGTCGTTTCTCCAGGGGTTTGCATTTTTGGCTACGGATCAGCTGGGGGAACTATATAACATGCTGCCACTTCCCACTTCCCCCTAAATTTGACATGGGTCTGTTTTAGTCCAAACAAGTCAGTGAATTCTGAAACCAAGTCTACATGAGAATGTGCTTGTGATTGAATTCTCAAAGGGAATCAGTTTTTTTTTTGGGGGGGGGGGGGGTTGCTCTGTATATTTTTCCCATTCTGCCTAGGGCTATTGCTGAGATAGGAAAAAATCCCTACAAGAGCTCTCTGTGAATTGGGATTTTTCCACTTGACTCACCAAAAATATCATTTTTTTAGGTTTGCAGCTATATATAAGGTTTTCTGATCCAACCTTCCATGTAACATGGGCTGCTGGCTTTGTGTCCTGATTCTGTGCAGGCCCATTAACACACAAGTTCTAGGTCTTCTAGCACCAACGGAGTCCTGAACAAATGCCAGCTCTTCTATCTCCTCACATTGCTGCATTTGTGTTTTCTAATATTTTCTGGACTTCGAGGATTTCTCTTATTTTTCTGCCTGCTGAGATGTGTTTGCAAACATGTTTGTAAATATTTTATCCAGAAATTTAAGCTTGTTCTAGATACAAGTCCACCATATTGCTGTCATCAGGACTGGGATGACTCCTGAAGTGGTCTTCAAAAGGTACGTGAAACCTTCAATCCCTTTCAACTTCTTTGTTTCTCTTTTTTGCTATTACTGACTTTGTCAGATGATGTCCTACTATTATCTCAAACTAGTATTGATTGAGTTTTTTTAGGTCAGTATCTCTTACTTTTTTGTTCAAGATAAGTATAAACAATCTCTAAAATACAATGTTAAATGACAAAAAGAAAGGTGCATAGCTGTTTGAATACTGCCTCTAAGTAAGGGCATGTATGTGTGTGTGTGTGTGTGTGTGTCTAATACTCGTTGTCTTTGAGATGGGAACTGATTAACTGGGAGATACTGATCGTAGGAAGTCTTAACCTTTTAACCGAATGCCATCTCATACCTTTTGAACTTTTCACCCTGTGCATGTGTAGTACCTATGTTTAAATTATTTAAAATATTTATAAAATTAAAACTGAGTAGGCCTTATATTATGAGAGACACTGTAAAGTCTCAAATATAAGGTGATTCCTTCTTTCCTAAGGGATAACCTTAAAGAAAAAGCTACTCAATTCTTATGAAGACATCCACGGCATCCACGGGGATATACAGAGGTAGGTACTAAGGCAGGTCATGTGTACATAAGCACCAGCAATGACATGTATGCAGAAATAGACGGAGTACAGGTGACTTTGGTGCTGAATGAAGCCTGTTTGCAGGAAATTGCCAATCAATGGAAAAATATGGCTCTGCCAGGCTCAGAGACCAAGTCAGGCTCACAGCTCTGGCTGTGTACTCAGGTTAAGTATGGTAAACAGACTTCACCCTTTCTGCAGGATTCCAAATTAGAGCATACTTGTCCAGAGGTCAATTTCAATACTTGGACTTTGTATGTTCATTAAGAACTGTGTCATCATTCTGCTTGGACAACTTTTGCCTTTATCGTACAATTTTGCGTCAGGAACTTTGACCTGAATTGAGGATATTCCAGTTTTCCTTCTCATAACCAGAAAGGATCAACACAGGATAATGCTCATAAAAATTAGATTTCTTGATAAAAAATAATTAAAATGCTCCAAATACGAAGTCTTTTCCTACAAGCCAAGCTTCCAAACAATGACCCAGGGGTATAAGAGCACATTCCAAAGAAGTCCTGCTTTTACATAATCTAATCTCATTTGTTTCCCTTTTCTTCTGAAAGTATATGATTTTGACTCAAATTTCTTTCTAACAATATGCATTTCAACCACATAGAATCTTGAAAGAGATTCCAACTAGTTGTGGTATTACTATCAATGTAGAACCCTGGGTTTTCTAAAACCATGGTTCAATAACAAAGATGATCTAGCTATCTTCCTTTAGAAGGTGTTGTCCAGTTCAAAACAAACTCCATCCAGATACACCAGGTAGCATGTAGACAAACCATGCCCTCATGGCAACTTAAAGTTCCAGGGTCTGGCTCTGATGCTAAGAGAAATTGCTTTTAGGTTCTACGCTACCTTGATGGCATGAAAGCTAGTAAATTTTCTAAAAAGATCAAATCAATGAAGTTAGGTTCAAAGTTGCTTTGTGCAAAGGAATGTGGAATAATCCATTTTAGGGTAGATCAGAGGAAACATGATAAAAACAGACTTCTAAAAATCTCTAATCTAAACTGAACTAGACCTCTAGGGTGATCTGCCCAGCTTCCTAATGAACTGAAACTGAAATCGAGTACAGTCATTTTACCTCTATATGTGAATGGCTGTAGCACGTGAGAATGACTTCCGTATTCATAGTTCAATGGATAGTTTTTATTCGTAACTTTCTGGAACAAAGTTCACCTCTCATTTCTTCATGCAACTCTAATCCCCTGACTTCTGATGCTAGTCTCTCTGGTTCTCCCTGCACCCCTCCCACTGGTCCCTCTAGGTCTCCTTTGTAGATCGATCCTCCTCCTCTGATCACCTCTTAAATGGCCATGTGCTCCAAGTTTCACTCTTGGTCCCCCAACCTCGTGCCACTGTGAGCCCTCCCTAGGTGACTGTAGGTACTATTTCATCTGAATGACCATATGTCAGCTGTTGTGTCTCAAACTAAATCTCCCCACCCTGGTTTTGTCCTTTTGGTTGTTCCACAGGCACGTCAGACTAAACTCAACTCATCATCCACGTCTTCAAAACTGCCCCTCCCCTCGCCCTCATATGCATTAGCTCAGTTCATGAAACCACTATTAGCTGACCAGGTGGTCAGACCAGAAACCTGAGAGTTGGGGTGCCTGGGTGGCTCAGTGGTTAAAGCCTCTGCCTTCGGCTCAGGTCATGATCCCAGGGTCCTGGGATGGAGCCCCGCATCGGGCTCTCTGCTCAGTGCAGAGCCTGCTTCTCTCTCTCTCTCTCTCTGCGTGCTTCTCTGCCTACTTGTGTTCTCTGTCTGTCAAATAAATAAATAAAATCTTTTAAAAAAAAAAAAAAAAAGAAAGAAACCTGAGAGTTACCCTGAACAGCTTCTTCTTGCTCACCCATCTCCCCACATGAGCGACCCTACTCTGATTTGTTATCCCTTACATATTTTTGTCCTTTCCCCTCTCCCCTTTCTACTGTCATTGCCTAGAATAGCCGCTCCTCACCCCTTGCCTGGTCTCCTTCCCTCTAGTCTCCCCTCCTCTATGCAGAGTGACCATATTCAGTGCCAGCCTAATCATGCGACCCTGCCCAGATCTTCATCGGCTTCCCTCAAGGAGAGAAGAAACGTCAAGCCTCTTTGCCTGGCCTATCTTTTCATGTCCTGCCTCCTTCCACCTTGAATTTTCTCTCTGGTATGCCTTTGCTTTCATGGTTCAGCCATTTCATTACTTTAGCAAAATGCATTTTAAGTATAGTTTGGTGCCGATACCATCTTTACAAAAGGATGGACTCTTCTCAGCATGGTAATTTAATGATAATGTCTTCATTTCTTTAAAAAGCTATCTTGGGGGGCACCTGGGTAGCTCAGTGGGTTAAAGCAAATGATATGTTAAAGCCTCTGCCTTTGGCTCAGGTCATGATCCCAGGGTCTTGGGATCGAGCCCCGCATCGGGCTCTGTGCTCAGCAGGGAGCCTGCTTGCCTGCCTCTCTCCCTACTTGTGATCTCTGTCTGTCAAATAAATAAATAAAATCTTTAAAAAAAAGTTATCTTGGTAATGGGCATTGTCTTTTTAAAGGTCTGCAAGAATAGAAACCTTTGAAAAACCTTTTTTCCAACCCAGAGTTCATCTGTGAGGTGGTCCCAGGACCATGATGGTGTCATGCAGGGCAGAATGCAGGGCAGACCCACCCAGGTCGCCCCTGCCTCGGCCGTTGCTCTCTCCTCTGGCCTCTGTGTGTCCTCTTCTTCCTTCCTCTCTTTCAATATTCTCACTCTGATACTTTCTCATCTCCTTTCCTTCCTCCTCCTCTTCTTTTTTTTTCTTTTTAAACAGATTTATCCCATTCCTATTTTATTATTTTATTTAAATTCAATTATTTAACATATAAAGCATCATTAGTTTTTGATGTAATGTTCAATGATTCATTATTTGTGGTTAACACCCAGTGCTCATCACATCGCGTGCCCTCCCTAATGCCCATCACCCAGTTACCCCCTCTCCCCACCCACCTCCCTTTCCACAACCTTCAGTTTATTTCCCAGAGTCAAGAGTCTCTCATGGTTTGTCTCTCTCTCTCTCTGATTTCTTCCCATTCAGTTTTCCCTCCCTGTCCCTGTGATCCTCTGTGCAATTCTTTATATTCCACATATGAGTGAAACCATATGATAATTATCTTTTTCTGATGGACTTATTTCACTTAGCATAATCCCCTCCAGTTCCATTAATGTTGATGTAAATGGTTTTAAGTATTCAGCCTTTCCTTCTTCTTCTACAGGGATCTGCTTTCGGAGCTCAGGGGGAGTTGGACCTTCTGTGAACTTCCTGGCCCCTCTGGCAGTGGTGAGCAGGGCGACTGGAGCCGGACCACTCCACTTCCAACCTCACCGTTTTGCTCTCCCTAGCAGGTCATCTCCCCTAGGGCTGCGGGAGATAGGGTCAGAAGAAAAGGAAGGGCAGGGGAGAGGCAATGCAGGCCTCTTTTCCTTGCCATTCTGGCCCCACAAAGCCTAAGAGAGCCTGAGAGACCACAGCCAGAGAACTAAGACACTCTGGCTCATCAAACCCAGGGTTACCAGGGAAGAGCCAGGAAACAGGAATAGAAACTTAGCGCTTCTGTTCATAGCAAGCATAGAATCAGAGTGCTTCCTGTGACCTTTAGCAAGGGTGTGTACGGCTCGGTTTCCATTTCCTCCTTTGTTGATATTATAACCAGCTCATCTGAAGTAATGAATGAGAGACTGCTTAGTAAACTGTGAAGCACCAGATAGAAATAGCGTGTTGTCATTCTTCACTGGTTGATCACTACTGAACGCATTCTTACCGACAAGGACTGCCTGGTCCCTGTCACCCTTCTTTCCTATCTCTTCCTCTGGAGAACCCCCATTTAAAGAGGTCTTCGGTGTCGGTGGTTACATATTGAATTGGCCAGGCCCTTCCTTCTCCAGCTACTGGGTTTGTTGGGGGAAGATACCAAGCATCGCCAGGGCCGAATTGTAATAATAAGTTGAAAAGAAGTGTGTTCAAAGAAAGGACCCTTTACTTGTCACAGTCATATAATTAAAGTTCCTGTAATAGGCTTACTGACCTTCAAACTTGCTATTTTCCTTCATCAAGTTCTTAAAGGTATCTTCATGATGTAATCGAACTTTCCTTCTCTCAGAAGCCAGATTATGTTCCATGTGATCTTGCTCAGTTAGAAGTGTGACTGGTTTTAAATCAATCTCGAAAAAGATAAACATGTCTCTTTCATTACCTTGTTATCAGAGGACAACACGAGTTTTGTAAAACAAATGATATGTTACATTGTTTTCTAACTCAAAGTAAATAGAGCATTTCTGGGTATTTTTACACATATTATTTGACTAAATTTATTTTTTACAATATTTTGAAACTAAAAAAACCATTATAGGCTTAATTATTTCTACATACAATAAGATATGTGCTTTAAAGAGTTTTCTAAATATTTTTCCCTGATTTTAAAATTTTCAAAAAAGCTACAAAATAAAAGAAGTTCTTCAAATTAATGAACGAGGTGGGGACTTTGAGGTCATTGAATTCCTACCAAGAAATATTTTCTGCTCCTTGCAAAATTAAGATCTCAAAGGGAGGGAATAAACATGTTCTAGAGAAAGCTCTCAAGTACTAAGAGCTAGTTCTAATTTGGAAATTTCATCACATGGTGAAAGCATTATCTAATAAGCAAACTAAAAGAATCAAAAGGTCAGAACAAAGCTTTAACTGACCTCTAGAAACCTAAAATTCTGAAGCAACACAACCAAGGACTCAAGCTCTCCCATAAATACATGTCTGTTGACCTGTATGCATAGGGAAGTCACCTTGAGGCTGGATGGGGATAATTCCATGCTCATTTCCAGGACACCTGAAGGCTGGTACTGACCCTTCACCAAGAAGGCGAAGCAGCCAGTGATTTATAATATGCTGCTTTCAAGTCTAAAACTCCCGTAGACTGCCTTGTCTAATTTGTTTAGGGATATACGGATGTGATAACTTATACTGGCTTAACTCCATAGCCTTGTTTTAGTTGTGTGACCAGGGGGGTAAAAAAGTCTACCTGGTGAACTTGTGTCTTGGCTCTCTCCAATCTATAGATGGAGCCTATTTTGTGTAACTGAAAAGGACTCTGAGAGTGAAAAACTGAGAGCTTCTCCCCAAAGGTTAGGAACAAGACAAGGATGTCTACCTTCACCACTTTTATTCAACATAAAAGTGGAATCTGGAAAGTCCTAGCCACAACAATTATACAACAGAAGGGAAAAAGGGGCATTTGAATTGGTAAGGAAGAAGTAAAATTTTCACTGTCTGAAGATGACATGATATAGAAAAGTAACTCCACCAAAAAAGAAATGATAAATAAATTCACTTAAGTCACAGGATACAAAATCAATGTACAGAAATCTCTTCCATTTCTATACACTAATAATGAAGCAGCAGAGAATGAAATTAAGAAAATAACCCTATTTACAAATACACCAAAAACAATATCTATGAATAAACCCAACCAAAGACATGAAAGACCTGTACTCTGAAAACTGTAAAATACTGATAAAAGAAATTCAAGACAATGCAAAGAAATGGAAAGACATTCCATGCTCATGGGTTGGAAGAACAAATATTGTTAAAATGTCTATAACATCCAAAATGATCTACACATTTAATGTAATTCTTATCAAAATACCAACAGCATTTTTTACAGAGCTAAAACAAACAATCCTAAGATTTGTGTGGAATCACAAAAGACCTCGAATATCCAAAGCAATCTTGAAAAAGAAAAACAAGGGGTCTGGCCTTGGCTCAGGTCATGATCCTGGGGTCTTGGGATAGAGCCCCGAGTCGGCTCCCTGCTTAGCAGGGAGCCTGCTTCTCCCTCTCCCTTTGTCCCTGCTTGTGTTCCCTCCCTAGCTGAATCTCTGCCAAATAAATAAATAAAATTTAAAAAGAAATAAGAAAAGAAAAACAAAACTGGGAGTATCACAAATCTGGATGGCAAGTTATATTACAAAGTGCTAGTAATTAACAGTATGGTACTGGCATAAAAACAGACACATAGATGAATGGAACGAAACAGTAAACCAAGATATAAACCCACAATTACATGGTCAATTAATTTTGGACAAAGGAGGAATAAATATACTATAAGAAAAAGACAGTCTCTTCAACAAACAGTGGTGGGAAAATTGGACCATCACATGCAAAAAAATGAAATTGGACCCCTTTCTTTCACCATACAAAAAAATAAACTCAAAATGGATTAAAGACCTAAATGTGAGACCTGAAACCATAAAAGTTCTTAAGGAAAGCACAAGCAGTAATTTCTCTGACATTGGCCATAGCAACATTTTTCTAGATATGTCTCCTGGGGCAAGGAAATTAAAAAAAAAAAAAAAACTATTAAGAGTACAAGAAAATAAAAAGTTTCTGCAGAGCAACGAAAATAACTGTCAAAACTAAAAGACAACCCTGAATGGCAGGAGATATTTGCAAATGCCATATCTGATACAGGTTTAGTATCCAAAATATAAGAACTGATACAACTCAACACCCAAAGCCCAAACAATCCAATTTAAAAATGGGCAAAAAACATGAACAGATGTTTCTTCAAAGAAGACATAGAGATGGCCAACAGACACGTGAAAAGATGTTCAATATCACTAACTATGGAAATACAAATCAAAACTATAACGAGATACCACCTCGCACCTGTCAGAATGGCTAAAACCAACACCATAAGAAACAAGAGGTGCTGGCGAGGCTATGGAGAAAGGGGACCCCTGCTGCATTGCTGGTAGGAATGCAAACTGGTACAGTCACTCTGGAAGACAGTGTGGAGGTTCCTCAGAAAGTTAAATAGGGAACTACCCTATGATCCAGTAATAGCACTATGAGGTATTTACCCCAAAAGTACAAAAAGACTAATTTAGAGGGATACAGACATACATACACACATAGCCAAACTATGGAAACAGTCCCAGTGTCCACTGACAGAGGAATGGATAAAGAAGATGTGGATGTGGTACCCACACATACAATGGAATATTACTCAGCCATAAAGAATGCTCTCTTGTCATTGGCAACTATAGGCACAGGGCAGAGATTATAATGCCAAGCAAAACAAGTCAGAGAAAGACAAATATCATAGGATCTCACTCATATGTGGAATTTAAAAAACAAAACAAATGAGAAAGCAAAAAAGAGAGACAAACCAAGAAACGCGCTTAAATATGGAGAACACATTGATGGTCACCAGAAGGGAGGTGGGTGGGGGGGATGGGTGAAACAGGGGATGGGGATTAAAAAGATCCTGTATCATGATGAAAATATAAATAGTTAAAAAAAAAAAAAGGGAAAAGGACCCTGAGAACTATGCCTGGAAGCCTTGAACTTCTCTGCTGTTTGTGCTTTCTTTCTCCTGCTATCCTATTTCTCTCTCTTTTTTTTTTAAGATTTTATTTATTTATTTGACAGACAGAAGTCACAAGTAGGCAGAGAGGCAGGCAGAGAGAGAGGAGGAAGCAAGCTCCCTGCTGAGCAGAGAGCCCGATGTGGGGCTCGATCCCAGGACCCTGGGATCATGACCTGAGCTGAAGGCAGAGGCTTTAACCCGCTGAGCCACCCAGGAGCCCCCTCTCCTGCTATCCTATTTCTTTTAGTTTTAGTGAAGCCCTGCATAAGCATCCACTATGGATTTTGTCAGTCCTTCAGTGATCCAGTCTGGGCAACTGACCAACTAAGCCTCATCACAATCTCATCCTGGAATAAACTCACTTTGGACAGTGATGCAGCTCGGCCTGCTGTTTTAGACTGAACCACTGATTTTTCATGGCTTTCTTCGTGATGTGCCACTGAACAATTATGGTACTAGCTGGAAAGTCTGGGAAAGGTGCTTTGCAATAAAGGTTACCTGAGCCAACCTACTATGGCAGTACCGCAAGACATCAACCTTCCAGAACCACTTTCGGAAAACAGTTCTTCAGGCTCAGCAGAGACTAGACTGAAGTGAGACTATTATATTCTTAGTCCATGAGTCCCTGAGGTCAGAATGAGAACATGGAACAGGATGGAGAGGCAGGATCTTTTCTGTCACTTGCACTCACCCCCATGTCCTCTCTTTCTCAAGGGTTTGGAGATTTTGGAAAGAAAGGATGGTTTGCAAGACCTATCTCAATGTCCTAGATTTTAATGAACATAGGATACCTGGGATGCTTTGTCAAAGTTCAGATCCCAAGTTCCTGTACTCGTGATTCTCATTCAGTAGAGCTGAGACACAGCCCAGAAAGCTGCATTTTAAATAATAGCTGATATGAACTTCAGTTTGAAAAAGAATGTCCTTGGGCACTGTGAATATGGCTTGTGGCATATCTCATATGGGACAGGGACTGGGAGACGTGTCCTGGGGCACAAAAGTCTGTAGGGACACCTACCAACCCAGGCATAGGGCGGAGTAACGCACACCCATCCATCTCTTTGCCTGCTGGCCCAGGTGAGAAGTAGCTTGGGAGTGAGTGCTGCTCTGCTGGGAACACAGAAAACATGGCTTTGTCCCAGCTCTAGAGTAGGAGGCAGTCTGAGGAAGAATGCTTTTGTAGAGTGAGAAGACCTCCTTGTCCCTTCGAAGTAGAACCAGGAGAAAGAAGCCACTGTACCCACCTCTGGAGTGGTCCTTGCATTGAAAGATTTAAATTCCAAATTGGATGACTGCATTTAAAATTGCTTAGACTTGGGGCGCCTGGGTGGCTCAGTGGATTGGGCCTCTGCCTTCGGCTCAGGTCATGATCTTGGGGTCCTGGGATAGAGCCCTGCATCGGGCTCTCTGTTCAGCGGGGAGCCTGTTTCCTCCTCTCTCTCTGTCTGCCTCTCTGCCTACTTGTGATCTCTGTCTGTCAAATAAATAAATAAAATCTTAAAAAATAAATAAATAAAATAAAATTGCTTAGACTAAATGTGAATCCTCTCCCGGATACCCTGATCCCAAAAAGGAAAGCCAAGAAACCATAATGAGTAAATTCCCAGGAGACTACAGACAAGCTGCTCTTGGCCAATGGCCAGGCAAGCCCGCAGGGCACACGTATCAGAACACGGTATTTATTCAAAGGCTGTTTTTACTCCACACGCCCTGAAGCTTAGTTCAGCCTCTTTGACATTCTTCCTTCAGGTAGAAACAGACAATTGGTCCACAACATGCAACGGCTTACGACATCGCTCTTGCTTTTAAGAAAAAATTATTTTAACTCAATTTTGAGTTATATAACCACAAAAGAAAAGAACAAAACCAGTATACACTATTTTTGAGAAACGACAGACCCTTCAGATCATTTAAAATGGTATTTTTTTCCTTTTTCACCGACTGGCTATATCTATCTCCCTTTATCTAAGGTCCGTTAATACTCTATTACCACACAATGACAACTTTTACAGAAATAGGGGTGGATGACAAATCTTGGGAAAGCATATGTCACAGTAAGAAGAAAGGTCTTTTTGTCCATAATAATTCTGATGCAACTGTTAACATGTCCCCGAGTAACAAACTAGACATTCCTTCACAGAGAAAATTTACCTTTTCTTCTCCAACTGGTTTGGCTACAAAGGTAGAGAAAGCCACACTGACAAGTTTCTCAATACCAGTCAACATGTCCTGGACTATGACCTTGATGCTGATCTAAAACGAAAAGAAAAATAAATCAGTAAACGTTCAGCCATCCAGATAACACACGAGATTGCAGCAATCAAGATTCCATGATGTAATTCATCATTCTTTTGTTTTTGAATAAAATCAGCATTTTAATTTATTTTTAAGCAACACTGTTCATTCAGTGATGTTCCATAAAATTAAAAAATAACTTTTTTTCTGATTATAGAAAAATACGTATTTACCATGGAGAGTTTGGTAAACATAAAAATAGATAAAAATGGAATCTCATTATCCAGAGCAAATATTATTAGCAATCCTACCACCCAGACCAATAATTACTAATGTTTAGGTGAATTTTCTTCTAGTTTTATGTATATGTATATAAAGACACACATAAAGTCACATACTGCATTTATAGTTTCATACTGTAATTTTAGAAACCGGCATTATCTGACAAGCATTTTCTAATCCCGTTGTTACTGAATATGCTTTGGAAACAAGATACTCATGAATGCCTTGTAGAATGTTGGAGAGATGGGCCACAACTTTTTAAAATCTTTAGTCTCTCGGTTTCATAACCAAGTTAATGTGGACAAAATGGCATCGTGTTATCTGTAGCTTTTTCCTGTGGAAACTTTAGCTTGTGTCCGAGAATAGAAGGAAGAGGACAGAGGAAAAGGAGCTGTTATCCATGTTTGGGTTGAAAATAAAGAAGAGCACTAGCCCTCAGGAGAGAGGCCAAGCCCAGTGGCTACCATGAGGCAAACATCAGGGCTCACAGCTGAAAAAGCGCCGTCCTAACTGGTGCTGAGAGCGCTGGTTTTTGGTTTTTTTGTTTTTTAAGATTATTTATTTATTTATTTGACAGAGATCACAAGTAGGCAGAGAGACAAGCAGAGAGAGAGGAGGAAGCAGGCTCCCCCCTGAGCAGAGAGCCCAATGTGGGGCTCGATCCCAGGACCCTGGGATCATGACCTGAGCTGAAGGCAGAGGCCTTAACCCACTGGGCCACCCAGGAGCCCTGAGAGAGCTGGTTTTTAACACAAACATTTCTCTTCTGATTTCAAGTGTTTTGTGTCCTGTTCATATGGATACTGGGGTAAAGCCATCACCGTAGGGAGGGTTACTGCCAAACAGTTCTATTGAAGAGCAGTATGGGTTGAATGGTGTCCCCCACCAAATCCAGCACCTTATAACGTGACCTTACTTTGGAAGCAGGGTGGTTCAGATGTAACTGGTTATGATGAGCCAGAGTAGAGGGGCTCCTGATCCCATGTGCTGATGTCCTTATAAAAAGGGGGAATTTGGACACAGACACACATACCATGAGAACACCATGCGAAGAGGAAGGCAGAGATGGGGCTGATGGAGCAGAAGCCAAGGGCTCCAAAGGCATCAGCAAATCACCAGAAGCCAGTGGAGAGCCCTGAGCACATTCTCTTACATAGTCCTCAGAAAGAGTCAACCCTACTGATGCCTTTGTTTAGGACTTCAAGCTTCTAGAGTTGTGACATGATACATTTCTGTTGGTTAAGCCACCTAGTCTGTGGGGACTCTGTTACTGTGGGCCTAACCAACAAATGTAATCCCTTCCTGTCTTCTGTGTCCAGAGATCAAAGGGACTGGTACTAACCGACCTAGAAGTTGCAATATCAGATCCAGTAACTCCTTTCCTGCTAGTTTCACCTGGACAGCGATTCCAAAAGCCTCTGAAAATGTTGCTATCACAACTATAGTAAAGAAATCAAAACCAAATGGATGTAGAAGAGAAATCCTCTAAACTTCCCTTCTCACTTCAGTTACTCTGCCTTTCAAAAACTAGCTAATTATGGGGCTGGTTTCCAGGAGCAGGTGATGAGACGGAGCACAAGGAGAGTCAGAATAATTAAGAAATAAAACCCATACTTTGCAAAGAACCAGGAGAGTGCCCTTCTCCCTTGTATGTTTACTTTCCGTGTACCCTTCTCTGTGGAAATAGTGCATGGCGTCACACTGAATTTTGGTAGCAGAGTCGGCTGGGAAACACAAGGCCCTTATAACTTACCTATAAGCCTGACCACAGATTCAAGGACCTTCTGAAATTCAGAATCTCACTCCAAATTATTCCAGAACTCCTCCTCTGTCTTCTGAAGAGATGGGCACCCATAGTCAGGAGAAATGAGGTCACTTACCTCCATGCTTGTGCTGAATGCTCTGGTAACTTTTGCTTTGATGGTTATAACTTGTCCAACTCTAGTTAAAAAGAGAGGGAGGGACTTTAGTAATCCTAGCACAGCTCATCTCAGACTTAAAAAGTTTCACCTAAATGGACGTGCCACAGAGCAGTCCCCCCGTGTCATGCTGATAATGTTCATACATGAAACCTCGGGTTAATGATAACCGAAAAAGGCAGCTGTAAAAACAGACGCCAGTCACTGTAAGCCACCTGTGTGTTCGCTGACTACTTCTATTCAAACAGAAAAGAGCCTTTGCAAAAATGGTTTGCAAAATGACTTCCAATATCTGCAACAGATACTTGGATTACATCACAGCTGTTTCCTTGAGAGAAGTTAAAACAAACACACAAGCCAACCTATACAACTGATACTTATTTTTAAATGTTTGTTCACAAATAAATGGGATACAAATGAGCAAGCGTCAAACAGATCAACTTCACCAGGTTTACACGGACCCTCAGGACAGCCGGAGGATCCATTCACTCTCCACGATCATAGGACTCCTGGTCATACCATTTGAAATTGTTTCAGACCTTTTGGGTTCTGGTCCCCCAGTTACCTCCTGTCCCCTTTACCTTAAGGGTCTACCCACTGTAAGCCTGCTCAATTTTTCTCCCTTGCTTTCAAACTTAAACTACACTCTCCCTTTTCTTCTTCTTCCCCTTCTGTTTCAGATGAAGAAAGACGGGTCTCTTCCAGACCTCTTTCTGTACCCGTGCCCTTGACCCACCCCCTCATTATCCGTCCTCCCTCCCACCACCTGCTTAGCTCTTTTCTCTTTTTCTCAATCTCTGCCCCTTCCCTGACTTCTTAACAGTCTATGAAAATGCTCAAGGCTGCTTCTTTCTAAAGATCTTTCTCTCAACCCTATTTTATCTCAAAATCTTTTCTCTTCTCCTAAAATACTACTTTCTTTTTCTAACTCATGCATTTAGGAAATGTTTACTGAGTTACAACTAGTCCTGGCACTGAGCTTAGACCTCAAGATACAGTGATGAGCAAGATAAGGTTGCTGACTCCAAGGAGACCAGTCTTCACCTGGGACACAGTCTATAGACAGATGAAGGGCAATGCTATGAAATTTCTTGAAAAAGAAAGGCTCGAGTAATACAAAAGCATCTATAAGAAGAGGCTAATGAATTAGCCTCTTCTTATAGATGCTTTTGTATCTTGGGATACAAAACTTGGGAAAGGAGTCACAGGAGAGGTGACATTTGAGATGGACCTTCAAAGAAGATGATTTTTCCAGGGGCCAAAGTTTGAGGGCTTCATTTCCCATTCACTTCTCAGACCCTCAAATCTGGCTATTGCCTCCACATCTCACTTCTGATCCTTCCACAGTCACTTCCTAACAGCTAAATCCAATGTTTCACCTCATTTAATACTTTTCTTCAGGAAGCTTTATCTTCCCTTACATTCCAAAACAGTGTTCTCTTTTCTATCTCGGTTTCCTTCACTGATTTCTCTTCTTTAATCCATCCCTTCAGTGTAGACATCTCCTAAATTTCTGTCCTTTGTCCTATTCTCACTTCACTTTCTTTCTAGAAGACCTTGTTCTTGTCCATGATCCTGTCATCTTTATAGAAATGATTCTCAAACCTACATCTTTAGCCGGGACCTCATTCTTGAAACTCAGAGCCCTATTTCCAAATTTTTCTCAACAGATTCTACTAATAGTCATGGAGGCTCTACTAGTCTCAGTGTTAGCTACCTCCACACACAGCACCCAATTTATCTTAATCTTCACATGCAGCACACACAAACCCAAATCAATTTTGTTCTTTCCCTTGTATATCTTCCTTATAAACTTCCTAGCTCTGTTCAGTCAACTTTCTAGGATAGATTCACAATAATAGTGCCAGGCAGAGTTAAAGTCCCTCTCCAAAGCTACAACAGTACTTTGTACTCACCAACTACTAAAATCTTATGCCTGTCAGTCACAGTTGAAGAGGGGAAGCACAGGCCACTTTTGTCTCTTCTGTGAGCACTGTCCTGCCTTTAAAAGCAGGGGAATTCCAGGGGCACTTGGGTGGCTCAGTCGGTTGAGTGTCTGACTCTTGGTTTCAGCTCAGGTCATGAACTCAAGGTCATGGGGTCGAACCCTTTTTTGAGCCCCATGTGGAGCCCCATGCTCAGTGGGGAGTTTGCTTGGGATTCTCTCTCTCCTTCTCCCTCTGCCCTTCCCTCGTGTGGTATCTCTGTCTCTGTCTCTCTCTCTCTCTCACAAATAACTCTTTTTTAAAAAATAAAAATAAATAAATAAAAGTAAGGGAATTCCAAAGAATCTGGTTGTCCACCAAATGAAACTCTCAACGCTGAATGTCAGATGAATGGAATGACCAGAATTTCAACTCAAGAAAACCAGTTTCACAGCATGGCATTCAAGGTCTTCTGTTATCCGGCCCCAGTCTCTTGCTGGAACCTCACCTCTCTGCAGACCAGGCTCTTCCTGAGCACTTTCTGCTCCTTCTCAGCCTCATGCTTGGATTCTTGCACATACCTCATTATGTGAAGACCTTCTCCTACTCACCAGATGAAAATCTATACCTTGTTTGAGGCACACAATAAATGTCACCCCTCTCATTGATTCTCCAGTCAAAACATGCACCTTTTAAAACTACCCCAGAAAATGGAGTTTATATTTCACTCTAGGCCTGCATCCTGTCATGCTTTCTATTCTGATGATTATGTATCTGTCTGCTCTCACTAGACTTAGTGACTGCTACACTCCAAAATTGTACCATAATCATTCGTATATCCTAGGGAGTACAGAGTAGTACTTTTTGTATAGGCAATAAATATCTGAGAATTTTAAAAATATCCAATATGGCTTATAACCAAATTATATGGTTTTCTATATGTAGCTTTCACTTCTCTCTTTTTATGGTTCAGGTCCCATGTTAAAAAAAAAAAAAAAGAAGGCCCCTTTCCATGATGTTAGTGGTCACAAATCTTTTCTGATTACAGAAACACAAAATGGTGCAAAATGGAGCAAAATGGCAACACACATTTCACTGATGAGGTCATTAGTTAAGTCTATTTTATAGAATTTAAGTTTGGAAAATATATAATAGGTATTTTATTACAATACACCATTGGCATTCCTAAATTTAATAATGGTGCTTCTATCTAGTCTTAAACAAGTTTGGATTCGTAGTAATTTGTAATTTTATTGAGATACAAACCCATGTAATTTTTTTCTCCTTCAGGGAAAAATCCCATTGCTAGTATGTGAGCTTAGTCATTGGAACTTTATCTGCTTTTATAAGACTCTAGAATGTCCAGAGCTCTATCAGTGACACTCCAGCTGCCTATGAGAACCACTGGGAAGTGTTCAATAAAAATTTAAAAAGTGTTCCAAAAAACCCCACAGAAGTGGGTCAGGGAAAGCCCTGGATTAAGCTTAAGAAGATCCAGGCTCAAAGCACCCTCAGTCCCCTGGTTTGCTCAGGCATTAGGCCTCAGTTTCTCCTTGGTACAAAAAAGAAGGTCGGGCTGATCTATAAAGGTCTTGCCCTGTCTGTGATTCTAATTCCTGCCAAAAATTTCTTCTGTGTCAGTTTTGAAGAAGTAATTTCTTCATCCACGTGGTTTTATTAAACTTAATTTTGTTTGTATCTAAATAAATAAATAAATGTCAAACAGATAAATGTAAGAGTAAGCCTGGAGAGACAGACTGAGCATCTCACTGGACAAGACTACTCAGGGCTTGAATACCGTGGCAACTACCCCCACGGTCTTTGAGAACCATCCAAGACGAGAAACAGATGGCCTTCTCTCTTCTTTTTCCTTGTTAGTTATGTTCATGCCTTCAAGGATCAAGATATTCAGGGAAAAACAAAAACAAAAAACAGAGATACAAACATAAAATCAAAGAAATTAAGTAAAGCCATACAATCCAATTTATTACAGCTATTAGAATAAACTCTTTAAAAAACAAATCATTCTTAATTCTGTCCCCTGGAAAAAACCTAGAAATACTGACCAACCCTTTATAAATGAGTATATTTTCTGCCCACATTGTGATCTCTACTTACTATTTTTTTTTTTTACTATTTCTTTTGAAGAAATTTATGACTCTAAGTTTTGTAAAAGGTGAGCCCACCCTGTCAAACCAGAAAGTAAAGGAGTTATTGAAGACTTCTAACTTTGGGGTTATGTCCAGAGAACTTAGGAACCAGATTGAAGAAGCTCCCACTCTTCAAAGACAAGGCAGTTTGAGTATCCATAAGAATACACCCAAACTGAAATGTATCAACTATGTTAAAGTCCATGGGCTTATGATGATATTAAATAAAGGAAAAGAATTAAGCCTGTCTTTCCTGGACAAACTTTGCTTAAGGATAACCAAGTAATTAATGAGACAAATGATCTCTCTATACAAATATTTGAGAAAATAAATGAAGAAGAAATGATAGGATTGGTATATCACCATTTTATCAGTAACTAATGAAATAATGTTCTAGGTAATGGTCATCAGACATTATGTGCTCTTGATAAGAACTGGCTATACCAAAACATCAAAACTTCATCAAATCAAATTTTAGACGTCTATCATTTTACAAGAAATACAAAGAATGGGTGAACATCTTAAACGGGGATACAATGAACAAATACAAAATGTGGTAAACTCTCTAGGACAAATGACCAGGTTTCTTTAATAAATAAACTAAGGGAAATGAAAGAAGAGAAAATGATATGTGAAAAGGCTTATCAACCATACTGAATCGTGATTCAAGAAATCAATTGTTTAATTAAAAAAAACCCATTTTTGGAGACCACTGGGAATAACGATTTCTGTTAATGGTGCTGTGATTACGTTATTACGTTTCCTAAAAGAGCTCTTATCATATAGAAATATATAATGAAATATTCACAGATGATGCCTGAGATTTCCTTCAAAGTCATCCAGGTGCGTGGGGGGGCAGTGCTAATAAAACAAGAGTGTCCATCAGTTGGTCATTGTTGTAGTTGGGTGATGGTCCATGGGGATTCACTATATCTATATACATATATAGATATTCACTATATCTCTCTACTTCTGTGTATGTTTGAAATCTTCGTTGATCTTGAAATTTTCTGCAGTAAGAGATGGTAAAGCACATACAAACTCCCTCACATAATATGTTCTTCCTAATTTAACGTCTGTACTCAAGATGAATTAATGTTTACCAACAACCTAATGATGAAATTCACCATCACAGACCTGTTTATTATCATTAATTATTCTTCTAGTCGAGGAAAAAGCCATTACGAGGCAGCTTTCAGAAATCCTGCTCTGTCTCAAACCAGAATGCATTTTTTTAGAGAGCTATTTCTTCACGAAATCAGGACTGTGAATTTATACTTAAAAGTCCTTACTAAAAGTAGGTCCTGCAATTACTATTCTACTGATTTACATGAGGTCAACTGTTAGTGATTTTATTAACAAACTGGATCACTGATGACAAATAAATGAGCACAGGTGCCACAAATACATTTTGTAAACGAACCAATAAGCGTGGGAGACAGGTGTGGTAGAGCTATGCCACCTACCTTGCCATCTCCTCAAATTGTATGTCATCCACTGAGGCTGTAACACAGGAAACCCCGGCATGTTTTTCAGCTTCAAAAAACAGATGAAAATGGGCTGCATCAATAGTTACGTTTAAACATTTCAGCACAAGGGAAAAGAAATAAAAACTAAATGGACTTATTCTAGTAGCTCATCCTCTGGTTCAGGTAAGTACCACTCTGGGTACTTGGGGGAGTACACACTTGGGGGAGACCTGGGTCAGTAACAATTCTTCAGCTCTGTAAGTTGTGTTTCTATTGCATTGAAATGACTGTACTTTCTTCTAAGTTTTAACTTACACTGTCTTTGATTTGAAATTCAATACCAATACCTAGTATATCTAGTGACTGAAATAGTAATTTTAGTTCATTGGTGCCAACTTCAAATATTTTGACAGATACTACCCTCCTTTTGTTCTAAAAACAATGCATTAAAGCTGTATCCATTATCCCACATAACCAGAAGCTGCATATATTTTGACCGGTTAACATGTATAAGCACTGAACAGTATGGAGATCCTGAGATGATACTCCAAATCAGACAGCAGCTTTTCTGGGTGTCAGAGAAATACTCGGCACATACTAGGTATTTAGTCAATATTTATTGTTCATTATTATCAAATTCAGTATGTATTAATTATGTTAGAGAGGACAGTATTAAATAGGGCAGAAAGAGATTAAGGAACAAACCCTAGCTATGTCCATATTCCATGTCTGCATTTAATCTGTTAAAGTGGGTTTTTTTTTTTTGGATTATTGATTTTGTTTTGTTTTTTTAAAGATTTTATTATTTATTTGTCAGAGAGAGAGAGAGAGAGCAAGTGAGCAAGCACACAAGCAGGCAGAGTGACAGGCAGAGGCAGAGAGAGAAGCAGGCTCCTTGCCAAGCAAGGAGCCTGATGCGGGACTCAATCCCAGGACCCTGGGATCATGACCTGAGCCGAAGGCAGCGGCTTAACCATCTGAGCCACCCAGGCATCCCAATTTTGTTTTTTTGTTTTATATTAAAAAATGTCAGAACTTATTCTCTTCAGGAAAAATGTGAACATGTGCTTCTGCCAGAATATGATTTTGATGAACAGTTAAAATCCAAACAGATTGTGCTGGCTTTTTAGGAACTTCTAACCACATTTTAATTTTGGAGACATCGCTCCTGCTTCCACATGATGGAAGAGATGGTAAATTACATGGACATTGTATTCTTCATGTGGATACTTTAACTGCAGTAATAACTGACCATGCGAGATAAAAAGAGGCAAGAAAATACTCCAGAAAGCAGGTTATTTAGGACACTCTGTCATATAATGTCATTTGCAGAAAACTGGAATTTTGGTTTTACCATTTGGAAATAATGAACTGTTTTTCCAAACATGCACATAATGCAAACTGAGTTACCAAAAGGTAACCACAGCACCACTCTGTGTATGAGGGATGGAGAGCAGAAGATTGGATTCCCAGCTATTAAGTTCAGTGAGAGGAAGGGAATGTAAAAGTATCAGACTCTAGAAATACTCAAGTTGGGCTCAACTGAATTCAGTGTGTCAAACACCTGTTAAATTCCTGATTTAACAGGAATTAAGTCCTTAGTGATTAAATCCTTACTGATTTCCAGACACTGAGCTGAGTCGGTCCCATCTCTTACCAAGTCTATTCGGGGGCAATTAGAGAGCCAGCCATAGTTGGTGCCCTTTTGGAGCTTAAGATTTTCAGAGAACTACTGGATCCTTGCAAATATGTGCTATAAAACATTAACTAAGGAGTACCTAAAGGACATTCATCCCACTTACCTGACATGAAGGAACAGGATGTTGAGTTTATTAAACTATTCTTGTTAAGAAACCATTACCATATATGTCAACCTAAGTGACCAATTTTGAAAGATTTAAATGATAACTAAAGGGCAATAATCAGCAAGGCTAAATTTTTATTGTATATATCAAGCATCTATTATATATATGTATAAATATATATAATTTTGTCACTATATATAGCACTATATATAATTTATATGACATATATATAATTTATATGTTATATATATAATATATAGCATTATAGTAGATTGGGATCATGAACAAACATTATCATAATAATAGTTACCATTTATCAAACACGTATTATTGACCAGGCACTGAGCTGTGTATTTATGCATGTCAGTTACACGAGGTTGGTACCATTTTTAGTTTAACTTTACAAATGGGGAAATTTAGGCTTAGAAAGATCAACTGTATTGTTCTACATAGTGGATTTGACTACAGAAACAATAAGAACTCTCAGAAAAGAGCAGTCAAGGAACACTCTTCAGAGAATTGCTACACTAGATATGGGCTTCAGAGGCTCAATTTACGGTTTACACTATAGACTTTTAAGGGTCATTAAATTAAAAACAAAAAACAAAACTATGGGGAACCAACATAGGACCACAATTTTTATGTGTGTTTCTATGCAGTTCTTTTATTTTGTTTACAAGTGTGTCATCTATGAGTTCAATAGGACGAACTTGCTCTTGATTTTTTATTTTGACTGTCCTTCATACAATGACTATCCTTCTTCACCAATAAAAGTGGAGAAACTCTAAAGCTATTACTGATTTTGTGGAGAAACTGAGACAAGCTGGGAATAGTAGCAGACTAGCTAAGTGGTTGTAATCCAGATATGAGATGATGATTGATTAAAGTGGTGGTATCTCCATTCATTCATTCCTTTAACAACTGTTGACTAAAACCCGTGATATGCTAGCATCTATGTAAGGGGCTGGCAATATATAACAGCCATGATCTCTGCTCTCAGAGTCTAGTGGAGAAGCAAGGGATTAATAAAATGAATAAATAATAACAAAATGAATTAAGCGCCCTGAGGAAAACATGGTTTTTATGGGAGTCGTAACAGAGAAACCAGGCATAGATGGGATGTCAGGAAGATGCACGTGGAGGGGATGCTTCAGCAGAGATCTGAAAGAGGATTAAAACTGAAATAGATGTGTTGGGGAGGAAGAACAGAAAAAACGTGAACACAATGAGCAGAGGAAACACCATATACAAAGATCCTGATCAAAGTCTTTGAAGATAAAACGCAGAAAGCAAGAGGGCTGCCTGGGTGGCTCAGTTGGTTAAGCACCTGACTCTTGATTTCAACGCAGGTCCTAATCTCAGGACCATGAGATCAAGCTCTGACTTGGGCTCCACACTCATCGTGGAGTCTCTTGAGATTCTCTCTTTCCCTCTCCCTCTGTCCTTCTCCCCACTTGAGCATGCACGCTAATAAATAATAAAATCTTTGGGGAAAAAATGCAGAAAGCAAGAAGGAGAGCTGAAGGGTTGGTTGAGAATGGACTATGCATAGGGCCTTGAAGTTCTTGGTTGACACTTTTATAATTATTATTAAAGATACCGTGCCACCGTCTTCTGGACTCCAATGTTTCTGATAATGTCAGAAGTAATTCTAAGCATCATTTTCCTAGGTATAGCATAGTGTTTTTCTCTGCCTGCTTTCAAGATTTTCTTTTCATCATAGTTTGCCTGTGATGTACTCAGATGTGAGTTTTTTAGTATTCATCTTGCTTGGTATCCTGTGATCTTCTTCAATCTGTAAACATATGTCTTTCAACACATGTGGGAAAATTTCAGCTACTATTTCTTTAAATATTTGTTTTATGCTTCATATTTTTCTCCTCTCTTTTGGGGCCCCAATGACAAGTATGTTACACACTTGGAAGTATTTTTAAGTATTTTTTCATAAATCTGTTTGTTCATTTTTGAAATTCATCTTTTCTCTTTTCTTCAGACTATATAATTTCTATTGTCCACTTTTATGTTTACTCACTCTTAGTCCCCTGCAGTCTGTTGTTAAGCCTATCCAGTGAATTTTTTTTTTTTAATTTCAGATATTATAATTTTAAGTTTAGGAATTTCCACTTGGTTTTTTAATTTTTTTTTAAGATTTTATTTATTTATTTGACAGAGATCACAGGGAGGCAGGGAGGCAGAGAGGCAGAGGCAGACAGAGAGAGAGGAAGGGAAGCAGGCTCCTTGCTGAGCAGAGAGTCCGATGCGGGCCTCGATCCCAGGACCCTGGGATCACGACCTGAGCCAAAGGCAGAGACTTTAACCCACTGAGCCACCCAGGTGCCCCTTGGTTCTTTTTTTAGTTTCTATTTCTCTACTACTATCTTTTCATTCTTTAGATCATAGTTTTTATTACATCTTCAAGGACAGTTATAATAGCTGCTACATAACCCCAAAAGCTTAATTCTAGCGTGTGGGTCATCTAGAGATTGATCTCCATTATCTTTTCACTTAAGAATGCATCATATTGGGGCGCCTGGGTGACTCAGTGGGTTAAGCTTCACTTAAAAGTGAAGTCACTTCAAGATTCACATAATATATTCGGTTGCCTTGGCAATAGGCATCGTTATTATTAGCAACCTCAATGACTTTTACACTTCTCTTAGATGTGATTAATTTTATATTCATGCTTCCATTATTTATGTTATTATAATCGACCTCAAATACTGATAAAAACTGTTAAGACAGAAACCAAACAGACCTATCAACAAACAGAAAACAAACAAGCAGATTGGCATAAATATGTGACTGAATTTTGTGGGTGGTTTACACACGGGGGATTACAAACCCTATTGACGCTCGGTGAGAAAGCAGGGTTCTGTAATCATCTGTGCTTTACTTTTGTCCTCTGTAAAATAAGAGTCCCAAGATAATGATTTTAAGCTCCTTCCAGCTCTAGTAGTTTATCCTAACATATTTTCCTTCAAAATGTACATTTGCTGAGTCTGTAAAGTGCCATATGCAAAGTCTGACTTCATTTTAGAAATGAGATTCCAAGGTATGGACCTATCCGTCACCGACCTATCCATCCATAAAAGCAGGTTTTTATTTAGAGCTTACTAAGCACTGGAGAACTAGCTTCAGTTCACATGCTAATTAGCCAGGCAAGAAATAAAGAGGTGAACAACAGATCCATACACAAAATAATTACAGATTTTGCTAAGTGGCATGAAGGGAAAAAAGGGGGTGTTGTGAACAAACTGCTTAAAGGGTACAAATGTAAGCAGGTGGCCAAAAAAAGACTTCTCTGGGGAAAGGATATTTAAGCTGAGATATAACGACAGAAAAGGGCCAAGAGAAGAGCATAATAGTGAAATGAGAAGCAGGTGCAAATGTCCTGAGACGAGACTTAAATAAAGGTGTGGTAGCCACAAACTGAATGCAAGAAGCCGGTATGAGAAGTGAGTAGTCTCCTCTCAAACCAGACATTAAAGAGAGGTTCAGAAACGTAAACCAGTACCATGCCTCTAAGTATATTTTTATCATTGTTGAAAATGTAGTGTTTTTTTTTTTTTTCAACAAAACTATGTCATGGGCTTATTCTTGTTCTTTTTACATGAATTAACTTTTAAAGATTTTGAATATAGTCAACATCAAAAAAATAACCCACATAAAAGCTCTCGGGGTCCTCACTTAAATAATGGAGTAAAGTAGTCCTAAGGCTAAAACATTTGAGAATCACTGGTCTGGGTCATTCTCGTGTTGGATGCACTAGCTCCGTCCTTAAAGTTCCCCGCGGCCCCGGGCTCACAACTGTAAAGACCTTCTCCTTCCTTCTCTCTCCTCACGAATCCCGGCTCCACCAACTGTGCGGGCTGGGGCTCGAGCGTCGGCTCCCTTACTGGGGTGGGTCGACCCGCACCTGGGCCTCGGGATCCCCCTCCACCACATATCCCCACAGCCAAGCCTGCGCTCCAGTTCCCGGACACCCCCTACCACATCGAGCCCCCTCGCCCCCACCACCGCAGGGGCGCCGGGCACCCCCGCCCCCCGGGCCTCCCGCGCTCCCCTTCCAGCCCCCACAGCACCCATCCCCGGCAGCCCCCTACCCGCCAGGCAGGCGGTGGCGTCGATCCACTTGAGCAGCTGCCCCGCGCTCAGCTCGCCGCGCGAGTTGGCGTGCGCGGGCTGGATGGCCTGGCTCATGCGCACCTCCCCCGGCGCCGGGCGCTCCATGGCCCAGCCCTCAGCGAAGCCCCCCAGGCCGCAGGCGTCCGGCCGGGTCTGCACGCGCTGAGCCCGCCCCCGCCCCGCAGGGCACCCGCGCCGCCTGCTCCGCCGGCCCCGAATCCCGCTCCCTGCTGGCCGCCAGGTGCACGGGGAGGTGAGATCTGGGGTGCCAGGAATATCAGCCAAATCCGGGGTCACCGAGGTTGGCAAAGCTGGGAACGGTCCGAGTTTCTTACTGTGAGGGGAGGAGAGCAGTGGTTATGACAGAGGACTGTGGAAAGAATTAAATGAGGTCACGGACGCAGCTCTTAGCACGTGCCTGGCTGAGCGGATCCAGGTGTTTGGTAAGTAAGCTGTGAGGTTAACACCGGTCCGAAGACGGCGGCGGGAGGTTTAGGATTGATTAGTTAAAAGCTGTCCAGAGAATGTGGACTTTGGCTTTAGAAGCTGGTTTTGAGTATTGGACTACCCTTTCCTCCCCTGGCTGTAGACGGACAGGTAGAGTGGGCGCTCACTTCTCAAGCCCTAGTTCAAAATACACCTTCTGTTTTTTTTTTTTTTCTTTTTAAGATTTTTATTTATGTATTTGACATACAGAGATCACAAGTTGTCAGAGAGGCAGGCAGGGGGGTGGTGGGGTGGGGTGGGGTGAGCCGGCTCCCTGCTGAGCAGAGAGCCTGGTGTGGGGCTGGATCCCAGGGCCCCAGCATCATGACCTGAGCTGAAGGCAGAGGCTTTAACCCACTGAGCCACCCAGGCACCCCCAAAATACACCTTCTGGTTCTTAGGATGTTATCACTGCTCCCCCAAATCCTTTGTTATTGATCGTTTTGTTACGAAATTACCCCCTCTGCCAAACACACACACGCTAAGTTTTGTGGGCGGTTTACACACACACACACACACACACACACACACACACGCACTGCTTTTTGCCAGCACATTATAGTCACTCGACAGAGAAAGGCAATCTTTTGGTTTTAATCTAGAGAATTTAAGATTAGAAACTGTCACCTCACTATTAATGATCCCAACAAATCCCAAGACACTCTCATTTTTACAGAAGACAAAATCTAGACTATTAAATGAGAATTTTCATTCTTAGCTGCTAACACATAAAAGCTGTTACGCTTACTAGAGCTGAAATCAGTGACTTTACAAAGCAGTTCTCATTAAGGAAATGGTGACAGCAGAAAACCTCCAGCATGTAATACATTCCTAGTTCCTGTATTGTTAGGGCCGGCTGCCCCTGGGAGAGCATTTACAGGTGAAGGGAGGGAAGCCTGGAGAGACAACTCTATGTGGCAGACGTGCCGCTGACATCATAGCGGCAGCTAAGGGAGTAGGAGCATCTGGGTTGAACTCAGGGATCATGACTGCCCAGAGTAGCTTACAACAAAACCTAATTGACTCCAGCAAACTGGTGATGCTTTCTCCTCTCTGCAGCCTGCCAAGCCCCAGCCTAGAGATATCAGAATGGAGATTCTTCTCATTTTGTGTCTCCTTTAAAAAAAAATTTTTTTTTTTAGATTTTGTTGTTGTTGTTTATTTATTTGACAGACAGAGATCACAAGTAGGCAGAGAGAGGCAGGCAGAGAGAGCAGGGGGGGGAAGCAGGCTCCCCGCTGAGCAGAGAGCCCGATGTGGGGCTCCATCCCAGGACCCTGAAATCACAACTTGAGCCGAAAGCAGACGCTTAACCCACTGAGCCACCCAGACGCCCCTGGCTTCTTCTTTTGAAGGTTATATGAAAGAGAACGACGGCAACATGGACTTAGCAACTTTTAGAATCCTCTGTGGGTAGATTTCGGTCCCATACAAGCATAAATCAAACTTGGATGCTCTGTTAGGTAAACACTAAGTTCGTTTTTTTATAAAAAGCATAAAAGCATAAAAAGGATTTTTCAAAACGAAGTAAAACTCCTGCCTCTCATACAGTCCTTACATGCAATTATAGCCTTATTTCAGTAACAGCAATAGTATTTATATCACCCTTCTTTGGAAAACACCTCTAGGATTCTTAATACCATTTTTTGGCAGATTGGAGTATTGTTGAACACGTATTCATTCTCTCCACAGATAACTTAATGGGAGGCATTCATTAATGTTGGGCTAGGCCACATGACTTGCTTTGGAATGGAACATGGGGAGGTAAGAGGGTAACACTTCCAACCCTAGTCCTTCGAAGCAACACGTGACCCCAGCCACAGTAGGATGATACTCCTGAATAGCTTTCTCCGGCAGCATCTGGGTACTATACTGAATTCACCTATTCCAGAACTACCCAGCCAACCTGCAGATTTGCAGCCAGAAGCTAAGCTACCCAGCAGGCGTGCAAACTCACGCATGAGACAGAGCCACTCGTTGAATGCCCTGTGATTTGAAGATTACGTGTTACACAGCAATAACTGACGGTTACGTGTCTGAACTTCATTTATGAATATTTTAGAAAATTTATTGTTACCAGAAATAGGGGTTGCATTATGTTGGTTTTCTCATTTTGGATTTAAAAAAAAAAATGGTGACTAAAATGGTAATATTACGTATATATTCTTTAACTTGGTTTCTTTTAAACTAGAGGAATTTCAAAATGTTTTAAGCCCAGGTATGAGAAGGCAGCTTTCCAGAGTGACTATCTGGAAGCGGACAGCTTGTATTTGCGCATGTATGTGTAGGGATGTTTGATCCAAAAGCAGACAAGTTCACAAACTCACTATTGTGTTTTCTTATGTGTGTTTTCTCCTCTTTAGATGTCCTTTGATTATGGTTTCATATCTTTTGTTGGTTTCTCACTGATTTTCATTTTCAGCCTCTGCCTGAAACTACTGTTCTTATGTTTTTGTGAATGGTCTCTTTTTCTCCCACACAATGAAAATGTCATCTACATGTGTGAACATTGGCTATATCCTTTATCTGTCAAGGATTTTTGCTATTCTGTTTAAAGAAAAGGCTTCTATTTTCCATTTCTGTTTAGAGACATCTTTTGAAGATGAGCAGAATGTGAAGCCAGCTTGATTTTTTAAAGGTCATGCACAAGAGCAGGAAAGCAGATCGGGAGGAGTATGGAAAGTATGATAATCACTAGAATAATGAGAACTTCTTTAGGATGTTGGAGTGGGAAGGAAACTAGACAGTCTAACCCTCTCATTCTGGAGATGAGGAAATGAAATGTTTGCCCTGGGTCACATTGCAAGGTAGTGGTCAGGCTTATAGAAGACTGAAAACAAAGAACACAAAACGCCAAGAAGGGAGATGGAAAAAGGTATTTTTCCCAGAGCACACCCTCCAAAAAGAAATGTGAAAACAGTTTGTTTGGGGGAAAAGTGCAGAGAGCACTGGTAGGGGAATCCAAGTATGGTCCCCAGATCAACCGCATAGGCACTGACTGAGAGCTTGTTAGAAATGTAGACTCGGGGTGCCTGGGTGGCTCAGTGGGTTAAAGCCTCTGCCTTCAGCTCAGGTCATGATCCCAGGGTCCTGGGATCGAGCCCTGCGTCGAGCTCTCTGCTCGGCAGGGAGCCTGCTACCCTTCCTCTCTCTCTCTGCCTGCCTCTCTGCCTACTTGTGATCTCTGTCAAATAAATAAAATCTGTCAAATCTGTCAAATAAATAAATAAAATCTTAAAAAAATAAATTAATTTTAAAAAATAAAATATTCTTTAAAAAAATGCAGACTCTCTGGCCCCACCCTACAGCTGCTGAATCGAAATCTGCATTTTATTCAGTCTTCCATGGGAGTCATAAGCACATGAAAGTTTGTGAAGAACAGCTGGAGTTGCCCTTCCTAGAGACATGGGAGCTGGAGTCTTTATCTTCCACCTTCCCCCCTCCCCAGCCCGACCCCCATCCTTCTTCGACTAAGGGCTGCTCTAACTCCCTAGCACTTAAGCTGACTACAGGGCAAGAGCTCTCGGGCAGAGCTGTTCCTCAGTCAGGAGGCAGTGGGACCGTGTCAGCTTACACTGGCTACTGGAATGGTGAGGGCCAAGTGCATTCAGAGAAGGCACAGAAAACCGTGATGCGTGATGCGTACACTGTGCTGAATGTTAGAGGCAGCCAGGAGTCTTTTCATTTTAGGACTTGCCAACTTTTTCCAGGTTCTCTTCCTCTTCTTTGCTCTTGGATCCTACTCTTGGGATCCGTCTCACCTTGGAGAATTGGACTGTCTCGTTTAGTACCTGGAGCCTCAAGCCAGCCTTTCCCCTGTTTGTCCCTGTGCTTCCAGTGGTCCCAGCTCGCAGACAGACAAGCATCAGGTGTACAACCTTGGAGTCACCAGCTGCCCAGGGAGTGTAGCACTTTATTTGTTCGAACAAAAGCCGTGTATACAGAGTCCATGTTTTTCTCTTACCCAGATTTGCTGGGCCCCACCTTCATCCCAGGCATGGCTCAATGGAGACCCCTTGATGCCAACACTGCTACTTTGTCAATATGCTGGACTATAGTGATTGTTTTCAAATATTGAACCAGGCTGGTGTCCTAGAATAAATCCCACTTGGTCGTGGTGTGTAATTCTTTTTATACATTGCTGACTTCTGTTTCCTAATATTTTGTTAAGCATTTTTACATCTATATTTTTGAGAGATAGTGTTCAGCAGTTCTCTTTCTTTCTTTCTCTCTTTTTACTTTCTTTTTTTTTGGTCTGGTTTTGATGTCAGGTTCATAAAGTGAATCAGGAAGTATTCCCTCTATGTTCTGGAAGAGGTTGTAGAGATTTAAGTGTTTTTCTAGAATTCTTCATTGAAACCATCTGAGTGGTTTCAGTGGATAGGTTTGATAGGTTTCTAAATTATATATTCAATTATAAAAATAGTTTTAGAGCTACTCCACTTAGGTATTTGTATGGGGTGAGCTGTGGTGGTTTCTGGTGTTCGATGAATTGGTCCAGTTTATCTCAGAGAAGGTGATTTACCAAAGGTAGAGATTGAACTAACGTCTGATCAGGTGCTTTGATGCCATGTGGCAGAAGCCTCCCATCTCCTCCTAGCCCCTGAAGTTGACCTTCCTTTTCCTCTAGTTACCTCT